TCCTCTCACATGCACTTCTCACTGTTGGAAGAAAGCAGGATCACTGAACTGCTTGGAAGATCATCACCACCAGGCTGTGATGAAACTCCTGTTATAACAGCCCCTGCTTTCTGCCCTCTCATTTGGATTGCAAGGCAGACTTTCTTTCTGTTTTGTTATTCCTTTTATCTTCATCAAAGGAGCAAATGCTACATATACTGATGCCACACTGTTTTATCAAAAACCAAAATCAGAAACCAAACACAAAACAAAACCCAAACCCACTCATCATCTCACAGCATGACCCCAAAGGCTGAGGAAAGATAGAGAATGAATGGGCTCTGATAAATGTGTGACCATGTTGAGAAGACTTTCAATGCCTGTCTTAAATGTCTTTTCACAGCTTCATCTTGGAATCTGTCAATTCCATGTATTGACTTGGAGGTTCTTGACTTAACTACAGCATGGCCCTTAGAGCTGGTCTGGTCGATTCCAAAGCTTGCTGGCATCCCTAGATTGTGGAGACTGTGCCATCAAACGGCCTGAGTTCAAGTCCAGCAAAGCTCAGAGTGGTTTCTTAAAGCCTCGGAGATTTTTGCATGTAGTTGAGTCCCTGCTTCCAGTGGGAAAGGGCCTACACGTGAACCAGACACAGGCATACTACTGATAGCTCCTTTCTGGTGGGAAATAAGGCAGGAGTTGTCATTTCCGTACAGCAGGAGGTGAAGCTGAAGCTCAGGGCTATTTATTTCCAGAATCTTTCTCCTGGTCTGGATCAGAGCTGGGACAGTGCCAGGAGGCCTGACTGCCAGGCCAGGCTCTTCCAGGAGTGAAGACACCACTGGACCATAGATGATTGGGATTTCAAGGGACTGATCCATCTCAAAGCCAGCTCCCAAAATAGACGTAGTTGCTTGGAGCCTTGCCCGTTGACGACAACTTATGGCTTGGGTGATGCCAAGACAAAGCCCCTCAGTGAGGAAACCATGGATGGTAACAAATCCTCTGTTCCTGCAACATCTGCAATCCTCAAGGCAGCCAAAGGAGCCTCACGTTGTGCCCAGTTCAGCTGCTCTGGTGCCCCAGAGAGCTGTTTGCCATGGAGCAGAGGAGCAGCTGGCTGCACTGTGTGAGATGTCTGTGTTTTCCCAAGACACCCGTTGTCTGTCTGCAGCACCAGCCTCCACCCTACTTGCTCACTCAGCCGTGCCTGATGTGTCTTTAATTAAAGAGGAGAAGCAATTTGAGATTTTCTTTTGTTTTCTTAACCATATTTCCTATTTCCATCAGAGCTTGCAGGCCTCTCCTGCCCTTATTTTTGTCTTGTAGTTTTACTGGGGGGCCTTCAGTTTATGGCATGTCTGCTCTAAAATAAGAGAGAAATAGGCAAAAATAGCTTGATTTGGGACAGGGAATTAAGATGCTGGGTCAGATGGCTGCTATGGTCATTAGCATATTTACACTTTTGCTGAAGAGCCTAGCTGAGGATCAGGGGAGTTAAGGATGATTGTCATTGAAATGCGGAGGAAACCTTGCATGAAATTGCCGTTAGTGTCCTATTGTCTTGGAGGCTGAGGGGGGGCAAGTGGCTTTCTTCATCCCTGCACCCCTTGTGTTGGGCTTGTCAGCCCAAGTAGATGGGCAAAGGCAGAACTGCTGCAGGAAGGCACTGTGCTGACTTAGCTGCTGGGGAGCTGTGAGGCTCAGCACAGCCACACTGCTGGCTGCCAGTCAGCCTCTGGGCTCACGGTGACACACAGGTGCCTGTGGGACAACTGACCTTCAGTGAGATCACCATGGATAAATACATGAAGCGTCTAGCACAGGTCAGTTGTCTCTTTTATAACTGATGGACCCAAGTGTTTTGTGTGTGCCATTGCATGTTGGTTTTGCCATGTGTGGGGACATATGTTCTGCAGGACTATCTCAACCCCTTGATTTTTTATGGCTAGCTGTGATACCAGAAACAAGGTGTGAGGCAGTTGGGGGTGTTGGTGTGGATTTTGAGTGTTGTGATGACAGATGAGATTTTATATTTAAACATAAATAAGAGAACTCCCTCATAGCTGGAGTTTAGGGTAAAACAAGTTGTGGAACAATGCTCTGGTCCTGCTCTGAGGCGGGCCTTTTTAGTTCAGATGTTACTTGTTCATTGTTCTCTTACTCTTTCATGCTGTTCAGATCCACTGTTTTAATTCAAACCCATTTCTAACTTAGTGCCAAACCCCAAGTTGTACATGGTAACATGAAAGAGGAGAACAGGTCCCCTGGCCTGTTTACAATTCTGAAAATACTAGCTACCTTCTGCTACTGCTTTGATTTTGGTGGCACAAGCAGCAAGGCAGTGAGCTGAAGGAGGAATGCTGGTGCCCTTTGGTATGAGAGAGAAGAATCTTTGGAGCAGAGGCTCATTTGTAGCCACCAGACAGGCTTCAGCTCTGTCCATTTGCAAAGCCAGCAGCAGGTATGGACAGTACAGTCTTGAATAATGGGATTGTATCAACTCTAGCAGTGGTGGTGAGTCTGGAGTCAGTGTGTCCTTCTGGGCTGGTTAGAAGCTGATTGTGTCATTTTTGTTCTTGGTTACAAAATGTTTCTTTTTGGAATGCTTTAAAGCAGAACAAAGTCTAGAAAAGTGGTTTGTGATCATAGCAGCTCTTGTGTGCTTCAGCTCTGTCTTTTCTTGCCCTTTGAAGGAATAAGTAATAGCCACCTTCCCTATGGCTGTGGCCATTGGTCTTTCCTACAAAACAATGAGCACGCAACATGGGGAGAATCCTATGCTTCAGTCACTGAACCTAGCCCTCAAAGCCCTCAGGGAGCAAATGGATTTGTCCTAGACAAGATAGATTCTAACATCTTAAATGTCAAGATAAAGTGGTGCAGTTAAGTAAGATGTTGGTTAGGTCAACTGTTTTCAGGGAAACAAGAGTGAACACAGCAGTATCTATGGGATTGCAGGTGTTAGATCCATTCACTGAATGACTCATCTCCCAGCTTCTGCAAATTCCCCTTAGAAAGGTCATCTCAGGTATTATGCTAATAATACTTTATTTCCTGGGTATCTGTGCCTCTGGGATTGAGCACTGCAAAACTTCCAATCAGGCTGGCTTGGGAGTCCCATCAAGAACCAAAAAAAGCATCAGAGCTGAGCCTGAGTGCAGAAGCTCTGATTCTGTGGTTGGTTTTAGAATGTGATCTGTTAACTTTAGAGTGGGGTGGAGTAGGGGAGTTAAACTTACCCAGGGATTAATATTAAGCCCTTGTTTAACAGCTGATGAAATCCACCTTTGGCTCGGAGTGCCAGCTGTCCAGGAAGGTACATCCAGGCCACCTTTCAAGGACAGAGCAGCTCTTGGCCAAGGGTGGAGGAGAGTGCCCAGCTCTGACAGCCCACAGGTCACTTGGTTTATCTTGTTTTGTGTAATCCAATTGCCCCAGCAGCTTCTTCACTGAGGGACTGCTGCTTGGCCAGAACAGGAAACCAGCTCTGCTCTAGCCAGGGCCTGTGACCTCTTCTCCTCAGCTTAGGCTCAGCAAAGCAGCGGTGGTAGCAGAGTCCCCAGGAGCAGCAGGACAAAGGTGCTCCGGCTGGAAGAGGACAGAGCCAGATCCTCTCACATGGGCACTGCATCCCCCAAAACAAGCTGCCCGTGCCTGAGGCTGGTCTGTTTAACAGCGGAGCAGTGCCAGCCCTGCTGCTGGCAGACTGCAGCCTCTGCCACATCCCCCTTCTCACCTCCTCCCTTGCCAAAGCAGCCTTTACTCTGCTGCATATGATCCGAGGCCCGGCGCCTGTTCAGCTTTTGTTCTCCATTAGGATAGAACGAGGACTGTCAGGACCTCTTTGGCTCTGCCAAGGCCTTTTATGTCCCAAATATTTCCATGAAAAGACTCCCTCCTGACCACCCTGTCCCCTGACAGCCATTCAAACCAGCCAACAAGCTTGATATCATTATCTACAAAAGGAGGCCAGTGAGCACCAGCGTCCTCACAGCCAAGTTTGGGAAATCAAAGGCAAATCTCCCAGCAACAGAGAGCTGGCAGAGATCAGACTGCACCACATCCAGTGCGGGCTGGTCTGGCAGCTTCCTCTGCTGGTTTTCAAAGCACAAAAGCAATGTGCTTGGCGTGGTGCCAGCACTGGCTTGGCTGGGGCTGGGGCTGGGGCTGAGCCCGCCACTGAGCTGGCAGCCCCTCACAAAGTGCCCTGGGGAGCTCAGTGGGGGACAGAGGCTGCTGGAAGCAGTTGTGAGTTAGAGCAGCCTTGCAAAGCTGTCTCCTTTTGCTCAGTGGTGTTTTTAGATTAACCATTTAGTCTGAGGGGAAAATGGTGACGTTATTGGTCAGAGTGGGATTCACTCCAAATCTCACCTGGGACTTTCCTGTTAATGACTTTAGTTTATGTTCTGAAAATGGCGTGTTGCTGCCTTGCCACTTCTGGTTTGAAGTGATGTTCATCTGGTTTGTTCCCTATTCAAAGACTTTCTTTCCAATCCATCTTAAGATAGAGAGCTCTTCAGCAGTGAAAGCATGTAACAATTCGAAGGCACCTGGAAAGGTGACTGAAAGAACCACTGAGCACAGAAAGGGCTTGAGGAGGGATGGCATATTCCTCTGTTACAATTGTGTTTGGAAATACAGGAGTAAAACTGTTTTCAGCATGTATTATCTCACAGACTGCATCTCTGGCTTGCTTGATAGCCCAGGTAGGGATATGAAAAACAGCCAAGAGAAATGATGATGCAGAGGGAAGGAAGTTGAAGGGAGTTGACTTAGCTGAAGCTTGGGTGGAGACGGAATGATGGTATGGATGATGGTGCCTGGTTCACCCTCTTTGCAGCAGGTTGCTTTGGGCAGTGAAAGGAAGCTTGAGATGGGGTTATTACAGGGGAATATGTCAACAAAACCTAGAGCAGCCCCTGGGTCCCTGTTTGTCTGCAGCAGGTGATGAATGCATAGGAGGGCAGTTGTGTGTAATGTGGAATATTTAATTCTGGCATTTTCCCCTCCTATCCCAGTTTGATCCTGACAACACCGGCTACATCAGCACTGAGAAGTTCCGCTCCCTTCTCCAGAGGCACGGCTCAGAGCTGGACCCCCACAAACTGGAGGTCCTGCTGGCCCTGGCAGACAGCAACTCTGAGGGGAGGATCTGCTACCAGGACTTCGTCAACCTGGTGAGTGCTCTGGCTGGCAGAGCCTATCAGTCCTTGGTTCTGCTTAAAGCATTGGCTGTTGAGGGACAGTCTCCATCCTTCTCTCTCTCCCTTTCTCCCTCCTTTGGCACGGGTGTTTGCTGTGTCCCTGCATCACACTCTGTATGGGTTTGCTGAAGCATTCAGTGGTGACTGAGCTCTCAAGCCAAGAGTCAAGTTGCTGCCGGGTTTTCCAGAGAAACAAGTTTGCATGGGAAGAAATGGTGGGAGCTGTCTGAAGACCAATATGAAGCAATGGCTACTGCTTGTTCAGAGGCTTTTGCTTTCAGTATCAGTTCATAGCTGTCCTAAGGACCCATTAGTTTGCAAGCAGAGGTCTGTCAGTCTGGATGTCTCCTGTGTTGTCTAGAGATTTCACCACTTCTAGACAAAAATATATAGATAACTTTGTGTTGACTTGCTGGGTGGAGTCATATTGCACTGCTGTAGGCATCAACAGCAACAGGAATAAAGTGTTTCTAGGTCATGTTCATTTTATCCCAGGTGAGATGTCTCAGACTGCGTGAGTCATGAGCTGATGCCTCTATCTCTGCTAATGAGTCAATTAGTGAAAGGATCTCTCTGTTTCTTGTCAAGGCAGTTTGGCGAGTCAACACAGATGTAGACATGTATTATTACATGCTTAGGGTGGCCTAGAAATGCTGTTTGCAAGACAGGTATCTTGAACAGTGGACATTTCAGGGACTTCACCCTGTTCTTGCTCTGGCATTCCACACCTGAATCCCAGCAGAATTAGTGCAGCAGTAAGAGAAACCTGGGTGACAAGGTCATGCTATCTCCAAGGTTTCACTGGAAAGCTGGATATGTTCTTGATGCAGAGTGTAATTACTTGCATCTCTGTTCTTACAGTCAACATGGGGATTTGATCCTTCCATTTATCATGGTCACTTACACATGTGGTTTGGGGGTGGGAAGAAAGTGTCTTCCATATGTCCTGTCTTCACATGAATCAGAAAAGTGTGATAGCAGGGCACTGCTGTCAAGGATCCAGGCCACAACCTCACTTAGGCCATGGGCAGTGTGAAGGTGAAATTACTGTGATGCAGTGACACAGATCTGCTGTATCTAATCAAGCTGTCTTGTTAGTCCCTTGCATGTGTTTAGGTACACAGCAAAACAGATGTAGCCACTATTAAGCAGATCACAACTACTGTGAGGCTTCCCTCAGCTTCAGCTTAATAAACAGTGTGGTCAAGGTATTTATAGTAACAGCTGCTTGTTCTACAGTTTGGTATACTCAAAGTACCATGCCAGCATTCACTAATTGAGCTGCACAACACTTAGCTAGCAGGAACAGGTATCATCTAATTTCTTTTACAGAAATGATGGCCTAGGGCCAGCCAATGTGTTGGCAACAGGCTCAGGAACAGACCTGGGCTTTTTTCTCTCCTCTTTCCTTGCTCCATGAGCTGGGGAGCAGCACAAGCTGCAGAGAGGCAAGTGGGAGGTGGAAGGTTTGGGCATCCTCCTTCTTTGGGGAATAGGGGATGGTGCCAGCTCACACCCACCTGATGTGATTTCTGCAAAATGGCAAATTTCCTTCACTACTACTGAATGACTCCTGTAAAGAAGCCATTGATTTTTCTGTTCCTCTATCCTCATCTGCATATTTTTGCACTTTCTAATCGATAGGCAGTGCGAATGCCAGAACATTAAACTACTTACAAATGGCATCTCCTGATTCCTCCTCTACTTGCTATTGATTTTCAACATCCAAACTTTCTGTGGCTCCTTCTCTTTTCCCTAGTTTCCTGCTCCCAAACCTACCTTTTGAACTTCCTGATGGAAAGAAACAGAACAGTTGGCACAGAATCACTGTGAAATCAGTGATTTCCTTCACTTTATAGCTGTCAGTCCTGAAGCTATGTGTGGTGATGTTGAAGTGCATGCTTGTGCTTGATGATCATCAGCCATCTCTGCTTTTTGCTCAGGTTAAATTGTCTGTTTCAGTAGCTTAGCAAGAACTGATCTGCTCCCAGAAATGATGGTGCTGGATGTGGGGAAGGGAAAGGCTGATCTTTTATGGAATCCACGGAGGTTTTTCAAGCATGGCTCTTTGTTGTTTGTTTTCCTTTTCTCCATCAATATTCATGAACAAGCACTCTGACATGATCAGAGAATCTCATGGCCTCCCAAATGTGTTTAAGGTACTGAAACTTTGAGTAAGAGGTAAAATGGCATTAATAAAGCTCTGGCCACTGGAAGGTCCTTGAAGCAGGAGTGGGGTTGGGTATCAGAGATGCATTACAACGCAGTTATAATGCAAAGTACAGAGCAGAGGTGTGTGAAAGGAAACAGACTCCTCTGTGTGTCTCACAAGCAGCTCTTTTGGTTTCTTTCCAAGCACGGGGATGTAAGGAGCTGCTGAGCCGTCTGCTCAAGCTACTATGAAACAAATTAACTGTGTTCCAGCTAAAACCAGTAGAAGCAGGCTCAGATTCGCAGAACCCAGCCCAAAGCAGGGTTTAACCACTGAGCATCAGGAGAAGTCTGTCTTCAATGGTCAGTTCCTGAGATACGCTGTTCTGTCCGAGTTTTCTCACAGATTTACTAACGTTGATAAAAATTGAGCACAAAGAGTCTGCTCTTTTTTCAGCCTTGTAGAACCCTTGGTCTTTGATGGGTTCCCTGGAACTGTGACAGAATGTGATGCTGTTTCTTCTGCAGGGTGCTTGGCTACTTACTAGAGAGTCTGATGTTGCGAGATGCTATTTGTGACCACAGAAGCAGCTGTGACTCTATGAAATTATTATTTCCAGAAGGCACTACAGGCCACAAACTGCACAGAGCAATAGTATTAACACTTTGTTTCCCCCAAGTTACAGCATGTCCCAAAGAAGGCAGTAAAAATTATGCTCACACCCATGTACTCCAACAGCATCAGGACCACCAAGAACACGCTCTGCTCTCTTAAAACACTGTGATCCCCTAACTAAACTAAAGGACTGCTTTATCCTCTGATGTCAAAAGTATGTTATAAACTTCTGGATGCACCAGAAATATAATTCTAGGAATTCTTACCTCAAAAAGGAGACCTACACAAAACATACGCCTGTTCTCAGCAAAGCAACTGAAATTCCTGCAATGACAAATTTTACAGGATGAGAATAGATCCTAGAAATCTTTCAGTAAACAACTTAAGTAATGAATACATTTAGGGAAGCTGAAGACTCCTGGTATGATCTGCAAACAGAAAGGGCTGAAAAAAAATCAGATATGTATGAGATTCCTTGCATGCAGTTGTAAAACACAATGCTGCAATCATATCCATTTCTGTTTGTACACTGGAGCTTGTAAGAATGGCAGAAAGCAGTTTCAGATGCTTATCCTGCGTCTGAAACAGTGCAGAATAATAAGTGTTTCCTGTACAAGTGGAGACATCTTGTGCATGTCTGTTGTCTGGTTGCTCTTCTGAGTGTGAAGAGACATGCTAAAAATGCACAGTGGAAATTCTGGCTCTGAACAGCATAAGCCACAAGAGGAGATAATGAACAAAGATGTTTAACTAACTTTGCTGCTTTTAGAGAGGAGATGAGCCAGGAGGTGATATAGCTGAGTTGTTATTTGCTGGGATCCTTGCTGAACAGCACTTGCTGCTGGCAGTCCTGGACTGTTTCACATGATATCCTGTGAACTATAACAGAGCTGAAAAGCAGACCAGTGATTCCCTGGAGAAACTCGGTTACCTATTCTCTGGCTAAACGTTCCTTGTATTCTCTGCCTGAGAACATGCATTATTGCTTTGGACAGGCTGGATCATGGCACTACTCCCTTCTCACCCTATTGATGTGTTGCTCTTCAGACAATGTGAGTAGAAGGGAAGGGGTGCAATGGAGCTTCTAAGATGTTACTTTGTTTGATGGAGGGGCAATATGAAGCCAGTTCAGCTGTGGTGAGAGCTTATATTCTTTTGCTGTGAAAAATCAGGTAGGGAACTTGCTCTGGACAAGGAAAACTTTTACAGTACCTTGTATTTAATAAAGCAGCTTTTGCTAGAAAAGTAAATCACAGCTTATACTGAGACTAAAGCAAAATCCACTCCATCTTAAGACATTCTTCAATGCTCCATGGCCGGAGGCCATTTATTCTTATTAGCCACTTCAGTGATAGAAGCAAGGCTTGGTTCTGTCCCTTGTGAGGACACTGCATTTGCCTGTAGATATTTCATGGGTATACTTTCTGCTTTGAAAGGTAACTCTTGCCAGTGCTTGCAATGGTAACACTTTCGCTTGGAATATCGCCTCCAGCCTGGCTTGAGCTGCAATGAGGGGAGCAATGAAGCAAGAGCTGTAGCTACGGAGTGAGAACTCTTTAAAAGTGAAAATGTTGAGTTTTATCTTTTGGCTTTGTGAGTGTGTATGTGACTGCACCAGGAGGGCTCTGTTCTCTTCATGAAGGTGAGCTTTAAGAAGTTACATACTGTATTCTTGGAGGGGAGGGAGTCCTTTAAACCATGGTTTGCTTAATATTTTTTTAATGGTACTTAGAGGTACTTTGTAGCACAGCCATAAAGTAGCTATAAATTCCACTTGCATGTCCTTTATTGCACCAGCTGACAGCCTGTGCAGAACGCTGAGGTGAACAAGGCTTTGCAGACACTGGATATAATTCCTTATTACCTGAGCCACTGCAAAGATAAGCAATAAAGCTGAAATCTCCAATCCTTGAAATCCCCAGGCAAGACAAAAGTTTGCCCAAATGAGTATCTCCTCTTTCTGCTAAATCCTTCTTCCCTTTCTAGTGTTTTACGCTTCAAAGGCTATCACAGAATAACCCAGAACCTCAGTTCTAGTGGTTTTGTGTGCTGGTTGTAGTTTTGTTCTTACTGTTGCTAATCTGGAAGGGTCTTTGCAGGCAAAGCTGCAGGTTTTATAGCTCTCTTTCTTCCCCTATGTGCTTCCAATTAGCTGTGCTGTTGAACCAGGGCAGATCCTCTGCCAAACATCAAGGGGACTCCTATTTAGAGTCCTCTGGGATGTCCTTCAGTTTCCAGTAGGACACCCCTTTAAGTGCTTCCCTTGTTCCTGATTGACTGTCTTGGCTGAAAGTGAAACTTGTGTCCTGAGCTCTCTTCTTGGCTTTTACTCAGAGGTATAATAATAAATATTTAATTTTAAATTATTTAAAATTATTAAAATTATGCAGTATTTGATCTAATATTATCCTACTGTAAGTAAGGAGGAAGTTTTCTCAACAGAAGGAGTGGCCTTTTGGTCATATCCATCTCTGGCCTCTCAGTGCGTTAAAGTGTATTGAGGTGCAAAGTCATTACTCCAGGGAGCATTTCCAGGACCTGCATACCCCTCGTGATAAATGTGCCTCACACTGCCTTCCTGTTGTTCTTCTTCCCATTTTGGAGGAAACTGGTGATTTTTGATGTTCCAAGAGCCACGTGTATCTCTTGGGGGGGAGGGGGGAACCTGTCAGAGGGCCAGATGAGTATCTTGGAATTTGGTAACTGGGATGCAAGAGCTGATTTTTGGAGTGTGTTCAGCTAATACATTGATTCGAGTCCATTAGATACTGGCTACATGTAGCAGCAGCAGAAGGAACTTTCTTCTGAGAGAACTCGTCTGGCAAATAATCTTTATGCCATTTAAAAGGGAACTAGGCATAGAAATTCCCATCCTTAACCATGATTCCTCAGCTGTGTTCAGTCAAATGCAGTTGAAACTTGAGAAGCATGATGTCAGCTGAAATGGTTATTTTAATTGTGTGCGTATCTAAAATACACACGAGTTGGAAATGTTATTAAGGTATTTAAAACAATGCTTCAGAAGATTAAATATGGATTAATTTCAGTTGCAGAATCCTTCTCAGCATCAATGGAAAGTAGAATGTGTATTGGGGGGTTTGAAGTTTCAAGCTTACTGTGTTTTGACACAATGATATTTGAACCACAATGTTAATCTTGTCCTGCAAGCTACTTTCTTGCAATTAACCTTGCAACCTGACTGTTATTTTACCTTTTCTAATGGAAGAGCTGGAAGGTCTAAGCCTGGCACATGTAACAGTCAAAACCTTGAGCAGGGAAAACCCCAGTCAGCAACCATCATAATTCATTTGGTCTCTCCTGCCTCTAACTTTTCTCCAATCCCCAGAGTAAACCACTGCTTGGTCAGAACAAAACAGGATGTTGGTGTTTGCTTTTTGTTTTCCCATTTGATGCTGTTTGTTAAAGTGCCACCAGGTTGGCTCGGAGGATGTGAACATCTGTTGCAGATGAGCTCGATGCTGAGTTATGCATGTTGTGAGGAACTGTCTTTACCCACATTAGCATTTTGTAGAAGTGGGGAGCGAGGGAAGGAAATAAATGTGAATCTTGAAAGCAAAATTGATTGGAGAGGCTGCATTTGTGAGTAAAGTGGGTTATAAAATTGGAGCTGACAGAGGCTTTTAAAAATCTTGTGCTAACTTCTGATTTAGTGTTCTGTGTCTTGGAGGATCAGAGCTGGAGAGCTGAACGTATTGCCTGTCACAGTGTTGTATGTGTTTAAAAATAGCCATAGAGCAGCCTCAAAGATGCCAGCATGTAATGGGCAGAAATCCATGTTTTTCAAAACCTCCTAAGTGAGGCTGAATAAAAACCATAAAAAGGGTTATGTGCCCCACACAGGCCATGAAACTGGAGATGTGGAAATGCTAACATGACTTACTTGGCTATTGATTATCTGGGGCAGCAACAGTAGTACAGATGGCCAAGAAACATAGAGAAATGGGCTTGCCAGTGGGAATGGACAGCTTCCATTGCAAGCTGCAGATTATCTGACACTAGTTCTATAGTGGTATCTATGCTGAACAAAAGCAGGGCTTTGTACTTCACCAAAGTCTGGCACAGTCCCACTAGATGGTAAGGACTCTTGTCCTAAAGTTTGACATTTTCAATGTTGAAGACAGGTTCAAATAATCTAAATAGGAAAAACTTTTCCTTTCTGGTAGATGTATCAAACCCACCCTCAGAGTAGAGCTCTAGCACCAAGCTTTGTTTTGTTTTGGTGTGGTAATACCAAAGGGCAGAGGTGGCAGCACATGGTTACCAGTCATGTCAGCTTGGCTGTTTTACAAGGGAAATTTCTTTCTCTCTGCATAATAACTTTCCGAAGGCACGAAAGACTAAGGGAATGTGTTATTCCCCAATGCTGCCTTGGCTCTCCAAGTACTGTTTGCTGTACCCATCTGCATGAAATTTTAATATCATGCTCAATAAAGAAGTCCCAGATCAATTGCATGAAGAGAAATGGGATGGACTGCCCTGAGCTTCTGGTGCTGCAATAATGTGCAGGCCAACAATGGGCCCAGTGTTCTTTCAGCTGATGATTAAATACTTGACTCATAAATGCCAATATTATGGAACTCTGAAATCCAGTCATTCAAACTGTGACCATACGTGAGAGACTCTGTTTGGGAAGATTTGAATCTTTCAAAGTCCATCTGAGGAACAAAATAGTGTTCTTATCAAGAGTTGGTGACAGCAGCAGTAGTGACAATCCTCCATCTCTCTTCATGCATGTTACCTCCTATCTTTCTCAGCCTGTCTTCATACTGGAGGTGCTCCAGCCCCTGATCATCCTTGTGGTCTCCTTTGGACTTGCTCCAACAGTTCCATGTCCTTCTTATGCTGAGGACACCAGAACCTCACACAGTGCTCCAAGTGGGGTCTCATGAGAGCAGAGGGGCAGGATCACCTCTTTCGACCTGCTGGTCATGCTCAGGATATGGCTGGCTTTCTGGGCTGCGAGTGCACACTGAAGCTGGCTCATGTTCAGTTTCTCATCAACCAGTACCCCCAGGTCCTTCTCTGCAGGGCTATCTGGATATCTCCATATGTTCTGCAAGACTGGAGCAGTTCACAACCTGCTGCATTTAACTTGCAGGCAGTTTTCTTATTGCCTCGTTGCTAAAGAGCTGATGAATTTGGATACCCAGTAGACCCTCTATCCTGGGACAGGATTCCAGCCTCTGGAAGCTGACTTGAGAGAACTGGAAGAAAGATTTTTGTGGACAGATATTTTTTTCCTTCTCTACCTTTTTTGCTTCTTTTGCCAGGAGTTTTCTTTTACAAATGTTTTATGAATGAGCAAAGGAAACAGAGAGCAAAGGAGAGATACCAAGTAAGGAAAGAGCTTTTAGGGTGAGCCTTTTTTCCTCACTAGAACAATTAAAAAAGATCAACACCAGATTTTTCCCCAGTGTTAAAAAACTGGAAATAGATCAGTTGGTGTCAGTGTTGCTCACGTTGGTTAATTTCTGCATTGGAGGGACAGGCTGCAAAGGGAAGGCTGAGGAGGGATGGGCAGCTGCTGGGAGAATGGGTCACAGTGCTGTCACCCCAGATGCCCCTTTGCCTTCCTCCAGTGATTAACAGGAGGTGGCTCCCTGCAGTGATTACTGTGTTTTAAGCAGCTTGGTCCAGCTTGAAACAATTAACCGGCTGCTGGGCACTGACAGCACAAGCTCTGGGCTTTGCTGACTTTGGGATATTGGCTGAAATCAGTGTGATCCAAGACAACTGTAAGGCAGTGCTGTTGGAAGTCATCTCCTGTTTGGTTCTGGCAGGCTGAAGATGCCAGTGGTTTCCGAGATGAGTTATCAGCTCATTCAGAAGGAGGACCAGGCTGCTATGTTTGCTTTGCTGCCTTTTACTGTAAAAGGCACCCCTACAGTGGTCTTTCTGCATAGTAAACCTTTTAAACCTCCCTGCCAAGGATGCAGCCAGTGACTCCGATGTAGCAGGTTTGTTTGTCATCAGGGCTAATTAGCAATTATCCCAATCTTGGAGCAAGCTCTCTCAGACCTGTTGTTCCCTCCCTGCCGCAGGCAAGGCAGAAAACCCCATCTGCCTGATTTGCAAATGCGTTTCTTTAATTATGGATCCAAATTAAGAAAGTGTATGCTCAGAAAGAGAGACAGCTCATCCTATGCATGTAAGATGATAATGCACATACACATCGGCTGTATCCTCCAAAGCCTGCACCATCCCAAAACCTGCCCCCTCTGAGGATAGCTGTTTTAAAAGAAGAAATCCTTCCCTCTTGCAAGTTTACAGCAGGTAAGGCAGCCTGTACACCAGTTTAGTTTGTTGCTGTTGCTCATGCAGCTTTGTTTTACACAAAGGGATAATTTTCTTTGCCCAGAGCTAATTCCTGCCAACAAGGGTTAGATGCTGTGATTGTACCTGCTGCTACATTCAATAAATTTTCTGCCCCAAGAGATGACAAGTTCAGGGAAGTGTTGTAAAGCAGGGGGAGCTGAGGGAAGGAGGATACAGGAGTGTGGATCATGGTAACTGATGGTGAAGATAGTAGATGGAAGATTGAAGAATGGGCTACAGAGCTCAGCCAGGTGCATCAGCAGCCTCCTCTCTGCCCTGACTTAATTTATTGGCATCTTAATAGCAGACCCTGGTACTTGGTTTGCTTGCACCCCGTGTAGGTCACCCTGTGATCATCCTGAGATGTGGCTCCTAAAGCACCAGCCCAGTGGTGGTTCTCCTGTCTGCCTGGATCTGGCAGTAATCTCCCAGGATGGTTGTGCCAGGCCTTGCTTTGTCCTCATGGTTTCTTCCTTTTCTTTTTACCCAGATGAGCAACAAAAGGTCGAACAGCTTCCGGCAAGCCATCCTGCAGGGGAACCGGAGGCTGTGCAGCAAGGCGCTGCTGGAGGAGACAGGGCTGAGCCTTTCTCAGAGGCTCATCCGGCATGTTGCATATGAAACCTTGCCCCGAGAGATAGACCGCAAGTGGTACTATGACAGCTACACCTTCTGCCCTCCACCCTGGTTCATGATAACCATCACTATTGTAGAGGCAAGTACCTTCATGCTGTCTCTCTGGAAAACCACCTCCTACTGCCAAAGGCTTTGCTGGGGCATGAACAAGGGCTGGATTGGGACTAATTTGGACTCGGACAAGGAGAAACACAAAGCTGATGGCTGTTTTGGCTTATCTGTAGATGCGTGTAAGGGGAGACTATGATCCTGTGTGTCTCCAAAGATGGTTATTATTCTGTGAAATGATTTGTATATGAAACTACAAAATTTGGGAAACTATAACAAAACTTTTTGAGGAGTGAAAATCTGGACAGTTCTAGGGAAACTGGTAATATAAGTAATGAAATTAGAAGAAAAAATCCTATATGGTTACCTCTGTTCTGTGAAGGGAGAGAAAAAGGGGAGAATTAAAACTGGGTTAAATATTATGACCTACTCATCTGTTGCCAAAATGAGATCTTTGCACAGCTGCTGGGTGATGCACTCGAGCACAGAGAAGGGTATAATATGGCACTGATCAGTAGGGTGCCGAGTTCTTCTGACTCAGTGGCTGGTGTGTTACAGAAAGTTGCATATAGAATTATACCAATGTGTTGCAGATTCCTCAAATGGGGAACTTTCCTGCTGTGCAAAGCTGTCAACTGGGAGAAAAATATTGTACATTTGACTTTTTTCTCCATGGTTATGAGCTGCAAAGTAGTGCTTTTCAGTGAGAGAAGGCATTTCCTAACCGAGGAATCTCCCTGATTTTCTAGGTTGCCTTTTTTCTTTACAACGGAGTCGTATTAGACAGATTTGTGCTACAAGTCAGCCATCCCTTATACCTGAAGAATGCATTACTTTATCATCCTCAACTCCGTGCTCAGGCTTGGAGGTACCTAACCTACATATTCATGCATGCAGGGTGAGTACTTACAAACTGCAGAGATTTACCACAGCTCAGGTTCCCCAGAGAGAGGGAGGAGAAAGCAACAGATTCAGTTCAGAAATAAATGTTTTAAAACCAATTCTGAATTGTGTATAAAAGTCTAAAGCTCTTCTGGAGTGTTGGGCAATGAGGGGCGATCCTTTGCAGCTCTCTGAAGGGAGGAAGCAGCATAAAGAACTTAACAGATGCTGCTCTTCTCCCCAGCAGTGCTGGGACCACACCTTCCTCTTACTGTGCACTTCCCAGTGTGTGCTTCCTAAAACTCACCATGTCAAAGCCCAGTGTCCCTCCAGAGAAACTGTGCAAGTGGTAGAATAAATCTGCAAAGATGTTGAACATGGTGGGTTGTTGCTAGGCTTCCTGGCTGAGGCTGGAAAAGTCAATTAATTTCCCTGTGCCTCTGTTATGTCATCACTTGGTGATGTTGTCCCTTCTGTAGGGACTGAGATAATGCCTAGAAGCCCAAGTCAAGACTGAACTCCCATTTTGTACACACTGTACCAACACCAGTGTTCCTGAAGAGCTGCCAGTCTTGACTGACCAGATGGGCAAAGAACGGTCCATCTAATGCAAAATACAAAATGAAGGTGCACAGTAAAATGAATCCTCCTTCTTCCCATGAGAGGTATGTAGCTGACTTGGGAAGAGAATAAAAGGCATGGGGATTCTAACTGTGCTTCTCAACTGTGCTAGTCTTCCCAAGAGTCAGAGACTTAATTGTGTGATGTTTGTGATGCCATGGTGATGAGTGAGTGGCACAGGAAAGTTCATCCCTGTACAAAACACTCCACCCTCTGCGTGGTTTCTCAGATCATTATCTTCACACATTCCTGGCAGATAATTGCAATTTTCTTTAATTCTGTCATTGAAAAACCACAGAAACAAGCTTTCTAGCAGTAGTTTATAGTTCGAAACTGGATAAAGACCCTTTGTTCTGAAATAGAAAGCCTATATTCCCATCAGTCAATGTTCTATGAAAGGCCAGAAAGATCACACTGATCTTTTCCCTTTTCCATGTCTCTGATGGAAGACGTGCTGATGTCTCTTCTCTGCCATGGAATAAGTGCCTCAGTGTATAATTGCCTTTGAGAACAAGATGTGCCTCAGATCTCTGACTAAAAACTGTAGGGCAGAACAGACTCCCTCCAAGGGGAGAGTAGGAAAAAAGTTATAGATGAAACTTCTGGAAGGGCAACATCTGTACTTTGTGTGCTACATCCCCCTCCGGAGTCCACTGTATATAGGTATCAATCTGCCAGTAGAGACTATTGGGCTTAGATGTGGGACTGGTTAGGTAAAAAGAGAATTGGAAATTTTCATCACTGAGGATGTGGGGAAAACTGGCTTGTAAAAGGATGAAATACTTCATTTTTAACTAATATCAGCTAATTTGTGCCTGGGTATTCTTCTGGTGATGGTGATGTTCTACTGTATCACTTGGGTAACTGCAGATAGCTTTGGAATACATCTGAAGAGGAGCACCTGCATGAGGACAATTTGTGGAGCATTTAATGTCTTCCTGTATCATTGTGGCCTGCTTTCCTAACCTGAGCAACCTTCCTCACCCTTTCCTTTCCTGTGGCAGGCAGTACTCTGGCATTCTTCACATTCACTGCCTGAAAAATAGCTCATGTTTATTTCACATCTGTGGCAGGCTCAGAGACGACCAGTGGGGAAGGTGGGGTGCAGGAGACTCACTGTCTTTGTGAGGAATTCCAAGTTCTTTAGCTATGTAGCCTTCAGAACAATGGAGAGTCCTACTGGAACAATAAAGCTCATGATTTATCCACAGTATCTGGAGTTAATGTTAAATGTTCATTTAATGCTAACTTCTCGGTGTTAAGCTGCTTTCATATCAAGAGAACAGATAAATCTTGGAAAGGTAATAACATTTGTTTGTGGAAGCCCATCATTCTCCTCTTGCTTTCAAATGAAAGGCTAACACAATGCCATGAGCTCTATTGTTATCCTGCTTCCAGCTGAGACATTAAAATGGTAATGTGGAATGCTCCTTAATTTAGTGCACTGGGTCTGGGTTTCGAAGAGCAAGTGACAGCCAGAAGGTGTCCAAGAAGACAGCAGTTGCTAAGGCTTGGCTGCCTGTGCCTCTAGGAAGGTGCCAAAAATGCCTGGGCTGTGTGTTGGTCCTGATGGAGTGAGCTTTGTCCAGGGCTGAAAAGGCAAAGTTGTAAATTCTGCCCTTCTGCTTTCATGGAAAGCAGGCGTTGACTATGTGGGGCCCAGGCATTTGTAACACTGCCATAACTAATGACTTGCATTGATGCTCGGTCCCATTTGTTTGGTCCCAGGGAAGGAGAAGGTCTTTAATAAATCAATGAAATTGTCATTTCAAGAATGACGCATTCAGCACTGGCAAAGGCTAATTATATTTTATGGGTGCTCATCGACTGTGGAGCCTTCAGAGCTTTTAGTGTGATGGGGAGGAGAAGTGAATGGGATTGCTCCTGCAAAGTCTTAAGAAGAGCTGTGGATCAGAGCAGTCACTTCAGAGTGTGGGACAAACTTTGCCAAGCTCTTACAAAAGCTTCCCATGAAAAAAATAAGACCCAGTGCTTTGTGTGAAAGTGTCAGATGCCACCTTGTTGACTATGTGCCAGCCAAAGCTTCTGCCCTCCCCTCTGTGAAAGGGTACTTGGATGCTTTGACTCTTCTATGATCTCAGTTTGACCTTTGCTGCTTGTTCCTAAGTGCTGTGAACATGCAGGATCAGAACAAGTGCCAGAATATGCCCATGCCTGGTGGCTTCTAGTCTTGAGCAAGGCAATAAAAAAACCCTCGGTTACATGCAGCAGTTTCCCATAATGACAAATTGAAGTGCTGAGTGGCTCATGCAGGGGAGAAATTTATCCTTGGAGAGGCATTCACTGAAAACAAACCTATTAAGCTATGCAGAAAGGAGTGTTTCCTGCTGTATCATTTCCAGCAGTTCTTTCCGGTCCAACTTTAAAATCTCATTTACGAGACTGTTCTGTCATTACTGCGTCTCACCATCAGTGTTTTTCCCTGATAGTGTTGATCTCTGATGTATATGGGAAATTGCTATGGTAACATGAAGCAAGACCAAAACAGTGAAAATCCATATAACTTAAACCAAAGATTGCTGGTAGCTGGCTGTGAGCAATTCTTTTCTTGTATAAAACAGGATGTAGATTTCCAGTGCATTAGCTACTTTGCACTCTTTACCCCAAAAGATGCCCCATCTCTGTTAAGGGTATCACTGTGTCATTTAGGTCCCCTACTTTGTAAGCAGACTCAGGCACCCTTCATACAGAACAATCTACCCCTGGGTCCAGTGTGACCTTGTCATTCAGCAAGGTCACAGCCCTGTGGGCCCAGGGTATATCTCAGACACTAGCACAATGTTGAGAAAGGCCCTGTTTGGGAGCCTCGTGGTTTTGTCACCTCACTGGAAGATCCTGTAGATAGCAAAAGCACAGGTAAATATTTATACAGAGCTTTGCAAAGTAGCAGGACAGTTTTGTTAAGTGCTATTTATTAGAGCAACAAAGAGCTTGCTTTGAAACTATTGATTCAGCACAGGAGAAAACTGCTGCACTGGAGTCTGCACCAAATATGCTTAGATTTAATCTTAGCTGTCACACTGTACCTCTAGGCTGCAAGTGGTCCTGCACAATGTGCATAGTGGGGTTTTCTACAGGTCCAGTCTCAGCTCAGCTTTCCCCATTGTGTTCAGCAGGAGTTTTGCCATTGAATATGATGGAAGGTGAACAGAAAGCTTCAGTGCATACACCTTGTGTCTCATCTAACCAGAGATAAAAATGCCCTCTGCTTCCCATTCTGACCATGACCATACTGAAGCACGCATATCAGAAAAGGGTTGTGATCAGGTAGCACAAACAGTAAAGCAGCATTACGTGTCACAAGGAAATGGCAACTGTCTTGGATATTAGGTTTATCTTTGCTCTTGACTTAATATCTGCTCCCCATCATAGCAGTGCAGTATGTTCAGGGAAAGGCTCTATCATTAGGAGGGGAGAAGGGAAGACCAGGGCAAGTTCTGGGCTTCTGTTCCAGGCTCTGCTGCCATCTTGCTGCCTTTTTTTGGACAAATCATTTGGTTTCTTCAAACAACAACAAAAATAAAATAAAAATAAAAACAAAAAAAAATAAAAAAAAGAAGTCTCACTAAGGCTCAAACTTGCTGTGAGGTCTTTGTCTGAATGGACCTGGATGGATGTGAAAGACAATGAGCAGCAAGGAGGGAAGAAGCATTGCAGCTCTCAGTCTGATTTTTTTAGGTTTTACCCAGTGTTATAATCTACTTCCATGAAGCAGATGCTCATTGATTTCCTTTCCAAGATACCTTTGTTTCGAGGCTAGAGAAGGGAGACAAAAGAGTTTAGAAAAGAGGACAACTGTTGTTTTTCCTTGCCGCAGGATAGAACACCTTGGACTCAACGTTGTCCTCCAGCTCTTGGTTGGAGTTCCCCTGGAAATGGTGCATGGAGCTGCGCGAATCAGTTTTGTGTACGTCGCTGGAGTTGTGGCAGGTAGGTGATGCTTCTGGGTGGCCCGGATGGAGAAGTAATCTGAAAATGGTCTTTTGTGTAGGAAATGTTTTGTGACATTGGGGTGCAGAAGAGGAGCAGTCCACTGATCTGTGTGTTGAAATTGTTTTGGAGGCTGGAAGTGGGAAATATGCTACAGCTTTCTGCAGCCTGAGTAAGCAAGAAGTATTTGGTTGTAGGTTGTGAGCAGTGCACAGGAATCTGGAAATTAATTTAATCATAAGCCATGGGCTTTGATTGATTTTTAGTTTGTGCTGTATTGCTTTTATTTGTGTTTGGCATTTCCAGCAGTTTGGAGGTGATGGAGGTTAGCTGACAATAGATCAACATCTAATTAAAACAGGAGGAGGGTGTGAGAACAATCAACATCTTCACAGGGGAACTCTGACAACAACTGACTGCTTTAGTTGAAGATTTGTGGTGTTCTTTTTTCCAGCTACATAATCTTATCATTTTCCATAATGAGCAGATAAAGCCTTTGTAAAATGGGCAGCATCAGGTACTGATAAATCCTACATTCCAGAAGAGACACTGCAGAAAGAATAAATAGACTAGCAGGCAGGACTAGGGATGGTACACACACAGCACTATTTAATGTAGAGAAAGGAGTTAGCAGACCAGCTCCACCATCTAGCTTGTTATTTTAGTAAGCGCTGACTAAAGTGGTCCCCAGTCTGCAGCTTCTCAGAGATAACTTTTCTATATAGATCCACCTACCAACCCTGAGGCTTCATTTGTATACATGTAAATAAATAAACATAGCACATCTGTGCAGGGTATGGTGAGCACTGAATCTGCTGCACTTGAGCCCAGGTGAGCGCTGTGAGTTGCCTGTGGCCATGGTTCACAGGGACAGAGGCAGGCTTTACCAAGGGTTAGGCTGGGCTGAATACACAGAGCTCTGGAAGCTTGTAGCCAGTGCCCGAATGAATCTCACTAGCCCACCCAGCACTACTGGTTCCTTTATGCTATACAAATGACCCCTTTTTTTTCTCAGACAAGCTGCCACATCCTCACAGACTAGCCTTTCACGCCTTATAATCTATAAATTGTGGAAGAAAGTGCCAATGGAAAGGGAAAACTTCCTTTCTTGATGCAGGTTGGAACTACAAATATGACCAGACAGTCCCACACAGAAAATCATCCCGTGATAGGCTTACCTGTTTGATTTGTTAGCCAATTATTAAACATGCTTTGTCCTTTGACATGTGTCAGAAGAGAAAGAGGCATACTTATGCTGAGGATCTGGCAATATAAAGGTAGCACAGCTCCTAAACAATCAGGAAGAAGCAGTAAAATGTTGACATGGGTCACAATGGCCACTCCCTACTTTTATGCATTTAATCTCATTTACCTGGCTTTACTAAGACATGTTGACGCTGAGATTGCAAGACTCAGTGCAGTCAGTGTCTGAGGACTTAACTCCAAGTTCTCATTACTCCTTTCTTCTCATTGATTTTTTCCTTAGAGCTGAGAAGTCTTAGGGCCGTAAAGCAAAGGAGGGAGCTATGAGCAGAGTTGGCTGGTAGAACCTCAGCGCTTTTCTTGACCCGGAATCTGTTTCTCATTCCTGCTTATCACTAAGACCTTCATTCTCCCTACCTTGTCTGCCTTTGTCTATCTCTTAAATTACTCTTCAGGTTTGCAATGAAAGGAGCTTTGAGCATATCCCAGCCTCCAATTGGGATAAGGAGAAGCAGTGTCTATGTTTGGACTATGTATTGTTTTTAGTGGGGCGTTTATGTGATTGACCTGTCATTTGCTATGTTGTGTTGACTGCCTCCACCCAGGTTATTTGTAGCTAGTTTTACTCTAAAGTTTAATACGTAACAGGCTGTGCTTTGATCAGAGGCCTGTGCCAAGTAACAAGTCCCCTGTTCTTTCTCACAGTGCAAATATTTGTCTTGCCAGCACCAGAGCTAATTGTATTTTACCATCAGGTGAGGAACAAGATATAGACATCTGTCTCCTGCTTCTTAGTTGTGTTAACCAGGGTGAAAGTGCTTTTTTACAGTATAGGTTTGAAAATACTTTGCTACCTTGCTTGGCTGCTTTAGGTACAGAAGAATCAGTCACTGTCTTGGCATTTTTACAGGACTGAATTAGCTCCACGAGGCAATTGATTTCCCCCCTCCTCTTTTAGAGACCTGCAGCAATTAGCACTAAACTGGCAGTAGCAGGGATGTAGAGCAGGAGAAAGTGTGTTTATTTGGCTGACAATTGTCACAAGCCCTTATTCCTTCTCCCAGGGTCCCTGGCAGTGTCAGTAGCTGATATGACTGCACCTGTGGTGGGCTCCTCTGGAGGCGTGTATGCTCTTGTCTCAGCCCACTTGGCCAACATAGTCATGGTGAGTATCAGAATGACTGTCTAACCTCTTCAGAAGTGACCCATGTCTGGTGCCCCAAAGGGTTTGGCAGTAGAGCCTGACCCAGCTGTTGGTCATTCAGAGCTTGCCCCAGTTAAAAGTCTTCTCAGTGGTGTGGTCCTGGGGTGGAAATGTTACACTGCAGTTGGTGGCTTGGTACCCTGATGACTGGTAGCTTGCCAGAAGCCAAAGATGCTGGTAACCCAAGACTTAGCAGTGTGCTCCACGCTATCATCTCTACTTGCAGAGGCTGACAAAACATTGCCAAATGTCCTGTTATTTCACTGCTCACTGGTCTTCTCCAAATCTACTTAGGAATTGCTACCCTAGCACCTATATGTCTTCATTATCTGCTGCCTCTCTTCTCATCTGAAATTACTTCTACTGCCTTTCCATTCTGGTGGAGTTTTTGCTTTTCTTTCCCTCTCTCCTCTCTCTCTGCTTCCTTAGTCTCTAGATGTGCTATTCCCTCATGCTGAAAGACATGCTGGCCATTTGCTGGTAAAGCACAGTCCTGAGCAGGTGCTTTGGGCATGCTGGGAAGACACAAGACTGTTGAAGGAGGGTCCCTTGAATCTTCTCTTCCCTTGTGCCTCCTGGTACCCAAAGGCATGAAAACATTCCTCCTGTAATAAGAAATAGTCTTGGAGATCATGAGGGGAGATGAGGGTCAGCCATGAGGAAAGATGATGAAGGGAGAGGAGAGGGCGGACGTCCATGAGGGGAGGGAAGACCATGAGAGAAGATGCGGGGTGGCCATGAACTGGATCCAGATAAGCATCTATTCCTGTTGCTGTGGAACTGCTCCTTTCAGCACGGTGCCCATAGACACAGCTCTCACCACAACAGCAGGACTTGAGGGTGGCCATGGACTGCAGCTTAATTCCTTCTCAGAAATGCAAGAAAGGTTGACAGAACTTATGGCCACACTTTTCATTGCAGTGTGGACATACAGTAAAAGGCAGCACAGTGCCAGCAGTGAAATCAAGAGCGAACAGCTTCTACTCCTGGCACAGCACAACGGCTTGCCTGCAATAAGGGGTAAAGCTTGACTGGGTGGGAGACAGCAGAGCCTTTTTTGGACCTGAGCTGAGACTGCAAAATGAGCTTCCTCAGGACCTGGGGGCCATGATCCACTCCACTCATTTCTGGTCCCAGACCAGTGAGGTTGAGTTTTAAATCTTGCTTTGTGCAAGATAAGTAAATACATATTTTTTGAAGAGATACCCACCAGAACATGACACTCCTTGCACTCATTTCTTCCTCTGGAGATTGAATGGGAAAATGAACAACAGGAGGGACGTGAAACCAATAGCAGTATATTGGAAAAAGCTCAGATACTGGTACAGTTTGTCTTGGATATACTGAGTAGATGTGAATCCCTCCGGTCTTGCTCATTCTCCCGCTCTGCAGCGCATGTGATAGCATGGAACATCTGGTTTGCTCACATTTAGGGTATGTCAGGATGCTGATAGTGTGCACCATTGCTGGACCTTCAGTGGCATGACTAGGAAAGAAACGAAAGGACAGGTTGGATGGGGCTTTGAGCAAGCTGCTCTAGTGGAAGGTGTCCCTGCCCGTGGCAGGGGGTTGGAACTGGATGAGCTCTAAGGTCCTTTCCAACCTAAACCATTCTGTGATTCTGTGAATTAAATACATAAAATAACCAATGGGGAAGCAATAAAGTGTGTCACCCAAAGGAAAAGAGTGAGGGGAGGACTTCAGAACAGTTACATGGAAATGAAAACTGATGGAAGCAGCACAGCATTAATCAGCATGAGTTCAGAGCCTTCTGACTGGGTTAGGTGTCTCTGTGGAGAGAGAAAATGAGTTACTTATTTTGTAGAGATTGCATTTTTGCAGTCACAGAAGTGATTTACAGACAGATCCCACATAAAACTTGAAGATATGTAATATGTATTGCAGAATATTCAGCAGGCTGAAAGTCACTGGGTGCCATTAAAGTTTACAAGCATTTTTTTTATTCCTTTGGTGTGATGAGCAGGGAGTTTTTCACAAGCAGCTTAGCTAGCTTGCTATCTCACACCACCTCCAACAGGCAGCATTTCACTTAAACACTTAATAATTATAGTGTGCATAATAATACATCTGAGTTCCCCAGGACATGATCTCTATTTCCTGTTTGGAAGTCTGTGCAAGTGGAAAAGGAGAAATTTAAACATTTCTCCCATGGTTTCTGACTATCATTCAGAGATTCTTATTCCACTGTATAGGTTAATGGCCAAGCCTGAAGACAGAGGAGGCTAACTCCGTGCTTTCTTATGGCACTGTTCCCTTAGTATGCTTTTATTGAGGTCTTTATTATTTGTGTGTCTCTGCTGCATATCTGAGTTGCAGAATGTCAGGGAGCCTGAGGTACAGGCAGTAGCAGGGCTTGAATGCACTGAGGAATTGCCTGACAGGGACAGTGTTGTGCCTCCACATGATTCATGATGAGCTGTGCCGTATTAACTTCTTGATATAATTTTATTTGATGCAGTCTAATTCAACAGGGTAGGTAAATTCAGGTATTTTCAGAAGTCAGACTTTAAGGTGAAACATCATACTAACATGCTAAAAATGAGTCTGTCTGAAGAACAGAGAATGGCAAGGACAGACAAGGACCATGCCACGCAGCTGGATGTCAGGCAAGGAAAGTCAGTAAGACTGCCAGGAAAAGAAGTTCTGAACTGTCCGTAACTTGGACATATCTGCAATATATCCATTACGGTTATGTCCTCTGGCATTGACAGGTCTGTGCTTGATGTGGTGAGTGGAGAGTTCACAGCCAGGTGACAAAGGCTGTGAAAGGGGTTTGTTTCAGGGATAGTTATCCTCGATGCTCTTCCACTGTAGTTCTGGATATAAAACTCCTCCAGGTTTGCATGCAGCATCACGTTGTTTTCCTTGTCTCTTTTCCAGAACTGGTCAGGAATGAAGTGCCAGTTCAAACTGCTGCGCATGGCTGTTGCCTTGATCTGTAGTAAGTATCATGCAATACTTGGCACACACACAATCCTGGCTTGTTTGTCCTTGTCAGAAGAGCTCATTCTGATTCAGAGGGGTTTGACTTTTGCAGCAGTTTTGGTAGGAACCTGGAGCTGGACCTTCTGGAACCAGAAACTGCAGCACTCTCAAATGCGGGTTTGGGCTTTCAACACAAGCATTTGTAAATGAGGATTTGTTGTTAGCCAACAACTGTTGCTTGTGGCATTTGGGAAGCTCTGGGACATAAACTGTCTTGTCTTTGAATCTGCAAACAAGGAATACTTTTGCAATGATAATACCTACATTTCCTGGAGCACTTCACATATGGGATGGCAACAGAATGTGTATATAATGCATCTTGCCAATTGCCTTCAAAGTCTAACTTTTTTTTTTTTGTGATTTTGTATAAATTATGGGAGGGGACTATTCCCCCTCCTGTCTACACTCCCACAGACCCAGACCTCATGTGCATGCACCACAATCCTTACATAGCCATAGCTTTCCAGCTTCCCTATTCTCACCATACAGGGCAGTTTCTCCCCCTCCATCTCTTCAGGGATGCATGCTGTCTGCAAGATGGACTTAAGAAAGGATGGGCCTAGATAATTAATTGCTTTTTCCTTCTTTGTTCCAGTGAGTTTTGAATTTGGAAGAGCCGTGTGGCTGCGATTCCACCCCTCTGCTTACCCCCCATGCCCACACCCCAGCTTCATGGCTCACCTGGGAGGTGTGATGGTTGGAATCACCCTTGGTGTCATCATCCTGAGGAACTATGAGCAGAGACTCCAAGATCAGACTTTATGGTGGATCTTCCTTTCTATTTATGTCATTTTTGTCTTGTTTGCCATCTTCTGGAACATTTTTGCCTACAGCCTGTTGGATCTAAAGCTACCTCCCCCTCCTTGATAACATGGGACAGAAACTCGAGAACAGAAGTCATCTGTCAGCTATGTTAAGTGAATGAAGATGGAGGATCTATTTTTATATTTAACTTAGGGGAGGATGATTCTTTCAAACACAGGTGTGTGCTGGAGGAGATGCTTGAAGATCTCATGAAAGAATGGGCTGGTCAGTTTGTTCACAAGTCTAGCAGCTACTGTAAAACTGGCTGGCCTGGCCCTGCTCCACTGGCAGGGCTCCCATGGGGCAGCTTACACCCGGGCACTGAGCACTTGGTTTGTTAGCACACATCAGGATTTTGTACAAGGTATTTGTATTTTCCAGGTCAGTGCTGGAATTATGGCCAGTGGTTGAAGGAATCTCCTCAATGTTACTGAACACTAAAAGGGAAGCAAGCAGACATTTGCTCACGAGAGACTTGTATGGTACCCACAAGACATTGGGTTTGGTTTCTGTGGACACATTTGACTGTTCAGCCATACCAGTGCCACTGTCTAATTACTTGAATGCTTTCTAGGATATTTTAGCCTATGGTGAAACCTGTATTATGCACCTTTCAAAGGAATCAGCAGAACTCGATCACCCAAAGTGATGGAGACTGGTCTTCAACTACAGGTCAAACGAAATTGCACTATAAACCTTGGGAATCTTAGAGTGTTGTGGACACCCAGCCAGAGGTGACTTTTGCTGTGCATGTTTCACCTGATTTTAATTCATTATTCCTCCCCCCCCCCCCCAACTTGCTATGGCAGAGGGTGTAGTTGGGGGTTCTGTTTTGGGATGGAGCAAAAGGAGGGCAAATGTTCAATTGTGTTTTTATCAGCTGACAATCAGGTGCTGTTTTCTTCTTACTTTATTCCTGGACACATTGATTTAACACCTAGCCTGCAGTGAGCTCCTAGCAAGGTTCTCAACTCTTCCAGCAGGCTCCTACCAGAAAAGTGGGACCAGAATCACCTATAGCAGCACAGGGTAGGAACAGTCTAGTCTTTACAGCCATACAGTCCATTTGGGACCATACCTGTCCACGGAAGTCACTGGAGTTACATCAGGTTGTGCACAGCACTAGTTTCCCACTGAAGTGGACAGGGTGTTACTGTGTTGCAGTGATCATTGTGAAATTGATAAAAGTGGTTCAGGGGCTCCAGGCAACAGTTTCAGTGATGCCTTTTTCTTAACATTGACCAAGCCAGGTTTTAGCAATCTGTGTCTGGTCTGTAGCACAGCCCCGGTTGCCTGCCCAGATCTGGGGATCAGACCGCAACTTCCGTGGCACACACAGTGCTTGTAGGGACTGTTCTCTGTAAGGTGCTTATGTTATTTTTCATCTCACTTTAGAGAGCTGCCAAACTACAGTCCAGGACTGTGAATGCCCTCCTTTTCTCTCCCATTTACCCACCTAGTTCAATGCCCTGGATAAAACAGCCATAGGAGTTTCTCTAGACTAGTTTCTCTCTTCCGTTTTACTATTTGCATACTGGTGCCCAGGCACTAGCCACCAGAGCCTTCCACAGCGTATCTCACAGGCACTGTAGCAGTTGCGTTTGCTCTGTAGCAAAAAGTCTCTGTACCATGGGCTTTATTCTCCCAGTTGTTCAATGAGTGCTGCCAGATATCTCAAACTAGGAGGAGCCTCCTTCTAGAGGGGGCATTCACAAGTGTTTATCAGCTGCCCCCTTTTTTGCCTCTTACTGGAGAAATATCTCTGGTCTGGAAGGGTGAAGTTCTGCTCCCAGGGTATGCATAGTACAACTCCTGTTGCCCTGGGGGAAGTAAGGGGGCAGAAAATAAGTATTTCTACAGCCTGGAATAAGCCTTACCTGCAAAAGAAACAATCTGGGCACTTTTGTGCACAGGAATGGGATCTCTGAGGGCAACTGCACCTTTGTTGTAGTGCTACAGTGTTCACGGGTTATCAGATCAAGGAACAAGAGGAGGCCATAAGGGTCACAGTTCTGTTTGTTTTGGGGAAAGGGGTTGGTTCCTGTGCCATTTCATCTCTGCAGTCTGAGTCCAGATCAAAGCAGTCATGACAGTTTACATGTGCATCATTTCAGGTGCTGGCCCTGTGAGTTCTGTAGCAGTGGAGATCATCTCCCCGGGGAGCAGCAGGCAAGTAGGAGAGCTAGGACAGTATTGACAGGAGCATGGTTAACACGTAAGGAGGATATTTCTTTCCTTACCTATTGCTAAGCCTTCTGATTACACATGCCTTTAAAACAGATGTGAGCAGAAATGGAAATTCTTGGAAGTTTTGGGAAAACTTTGAAAATTTTGGAGAAAATTTCTACTGCAACAAATCCCAGAGTATTTTACCTGTAATCAACCAGTGTGCAGTATGTACCAATTGACTTGTATTTTTGGTTTCTCAGCTGAAAGCTACTTAATGACCATCAGTTTCTCTCCAGTAAAGATTTCTGTTCCTGTCAGTGGTGTGCTCTAGGGTGTAGCAGCAAGCTACAAATTCAAGGGCCACCAGCTTCTTCATCAGCCTGACTTTGGCCAACATATCTTTGCCTCTGCTCAGGAGTAGGAGAGAGCTGAGCAGAGTAATCCAGGCACCATTTTTTAGTTCTCTGTCCATAGATGAACATAGTTGACATGAACTGGTTGAAAACAGCTCTGAGGTTGAGCTTACAACTTGTTCTTTTAAACTGTTATTCATCTTTCTGACTTCAATTCGGTGTCCCCATATCCTATCTGAGCAAGTCTACAAGCAGCCCTGGGGATCAGAAAGGCCAGACTTCAAAGCTGTATTAGATATATTGTGGGTGAAGATATGAAACCCTCTCACATTCCTGCTCATCAGAGCTGAATTCCCCACCCATACATAGAGCAAGTTGTACACAAAACCTGTTGTCTGCTAAGAACCTATCAGCTCAAGGAGTCAGGAGGAGCACAAAGTGCTTAAGCTTTTATAATTTTATTTCTTTCATCATTAAAATGACACTGTGAAAACTTGATATGTTCTTACAGAGTATCAGGTAATCCAGTTATGTTGTTTTCTAATGCACCCAGAGTGCCATGGTGCTGCAGCACCAGAGAGCTAATAGCAGCCAGGCTTTTCCTTTACCTCCAGATGTCCTTGAAGCTGCTGGCTTATATCAGAGATGTAATATTCTCCATCCTGCTCATTTGTGGTTCCAACTTGTCTCAGCCAACAGCTTGTTCCTGAAGGAGCCGTCCACTGAGGGTCTGGTTTTGGTGATTCTTTTGGTCTTATTTCAGCTGCTGCCAGGATTTTACGTCAGTCAGAGAAAATGTGAATCTATTGAACCTTACGGATGTGCAGTGCTGGAGCAGAAGGCAAGGACTGTTACCGACAGATGGATTTGAACAGTGCACGTTAGAGGAAGTTATTTTATGCTTGTGTCCTTGAGTGAGGACACACCTGTGCTGGACTTCCCTTTTAGTAAGAATATTGCAGCACCGGTTCAGGATGAGTGCAGGGAGCAGTAGTGCAGACTGGGAGAGCCGGGGTGCTGGCTGTAGAGCTCCTTCAGGGACATCTGCCGGCAGCGCGGCACAGCACAGCACAAGACGGGGCTTGCCAATTGCACCTTTGATTCCTAGATGCTTGGAGACAGGCAGAGATTAATTTTGCACACATTGGTAAGGAGGAGGGGGAGGCTCGGAGTGATGGGAAAGGAGGTTACCAGAAACCATCTCTGAGTGAGGTGTAGAGGAGCTGTAAAATGCTGATGAATTTACTTTTGAGTTTACTTGGAATTCTTAAAACAACTCACTCTTTTCACATCAGTCGATGAGGAATCTTAGCACTTACGTGGCATACTGTGATTCTTCACTACTTGCTCCTTTAGCAGTAGGAAGTATTTTATCAATGGGAGAGGGGGAGGCCAGGGAAATTACTGTCTGAGGTTGCTGGACTAGAAATAAAGCACAGAGATTCTGTATCGCAGGACCTTGCTCCTTCTGATGGGTTATACTGCCTAGATGAGATAGTTTCAATTTGAATTGGGGTATGAAGAATGGAATCTGACACCTTTAGAGCTGGTGCTAAAATGACAGCTATCTGCTGACCTCACAAGACTGCTGCTGTTTTGTGCCAATATTTAGTCTCACAGGATGGTGGGTAGGACTTTCACACTCACTTCAGTGGGACTTTCACACCTACTTCAGTGGGTAAAGAGCTCAAAGTCTGTTTACATAGATCCAAGCTCAGCTCAATTGCTTTGGAAACCCCACCCACTGGCTTTACCCAAAGTCAAACTGGAGGATATGGATGTAGTTCAACACCGGCAACCTCTGGAGGTAAGCTGGGATCTGGAGAGCAAAGGCCAGCACCTCTGGGGTTTCAGCCTCTTTGAATATTGCTGCTGTTGTGTTTCTTTTATAGCAGTGGCTGCTCTGCAGTGCTCTGTGATACGACTCAAAAATTCCTTCTGCAATCACTGATGCTGAGAGCTGGTTATAAAGGAAAACAGTGCATTTTTCAGCTCTATAAAGAAAGAATCACACATAAGGCAGAAACCAAGCTTGGTTAAAGGTAAATGTATTTTTAATATCACCATTAATCATTGGCTTTTAATTGGAAAAAGCTTTCTAATGAAGTATTTCTGAAATGCCAGTAGTAGTACAGAAAAATTTATGTTTCAGGGTACTTTACACCACAGAGCACAAAATACTCCCTAGGCCTGACTTAAGAAGCAAAAGTACCTTAAATTTCCAGTAAGCTTAATAGATAGGTTAGTCACTGACTGTCTTCTGACTCCCCCACAGTGTCTGTTTAGTTTGCAAATAAAGCTAGATTTATGCAGCTTTTCTTCTGCTTACACTATAATGCTACCAACACAGCCAAGTGTTAAACACAGAGCACTAAGCAATGTAATTTTCTGCCTTAAAATACTGAAGAAATGATACTTTCCCGTTAAGGGCTAGTAAAACAAAATGATATTTGCAAGGTAAGAGGCTATGGTATGTTTCCAAATATTTTTGTATCGTGCACATTCTGTATATTTTTGTTGTAACAATATTATTTGAGCGCAGAATCCATTAAATTTTTTTGCTGGTGGGTTTTGTTTGTTTGTTTTCTGTTTCCTTTTTTCTTGTTTTATATAAAATGGAGCTGTTCTATGTGCCAAAACCCAACCAGGAAGTATTTCAAAGACAAATTTGTATGTTTGTCTACACTTAACTCAGTATTTAACAGAAGAGTGATGGGTTTCAAGCTCTGCAATGTAATCTTTTAATAATGGCATTGATAACTCTTTTTTATATCTTTCTAAGAGTATTTGTCTAAAAGGTGAAGGGGAGGGTGAGCTGCTGCTTTATTTCTCCGTGAGATACAACAAGGATAACTGGCTTGGGACTTGTATTTCTCACCATTTGATAACTGCTGTGTTAGTGCAGTAGTGATCTCAGAACTGTAGGGAAGTTGGTGAGCAAGTACATTAGACTGTTTAAAATGCTTTATTGGGGTGGAGGGTTGGTCTTTTTTTAACATCAGTCTCTACTGAATGTCTTTAAATCTCAGAGCCAACACTGAAATTCTTGTCTCTTTAATCAGAGGTGGGAATAAGATATCCAGGAAGTTCTGCAGCAAACCTCCAACTGGTTTAGTTATTTTGAGATAACTGAAGTAAAAATCCTTCCATCCGCATGGACAGGGAGGCTTATTTTGGAGAATATTTTGTGGTTTTGTTGGCAAACATTGGGTTAAAGTTTAACCTAAAGAAATGAAGATGCAGCTAGCAGTAGTTGCTGTCAGATTTGTTTCTCCTAAGGGGAGGTGTATCATTGCTACCTCATGTGGGACTCAGCTCTTGATGTTAGTTTTCTGCACTTACCTGTGCTTCCAGACGCTTAAACTTCCTTATTCACTAGTTGAAGACTTTCAGCAAGAAAGTAAGGTGAGTTTGTGGGGTTTTGGCAGTTAAAACAGGATGTGTTACTGTCTGCTAGCACTACAACTTTTTCTTGCTGGCTAAAATAACTTTAGAAAGGACATAAATACTGTCAATTCGAGGATCTCTGTGGCAGAGGAGGAGCCGAAAGCTTGCATCCTTGATACTCATCCTTGATCACACAGACTCGTAAAAGACACTATAATTTTATTGCTGTAGCTCAAATCATATTCTGTATCGTAAACATTGCTCATAAATGTTGGAAAGTGAAATACTGATTGTACATGGTACTGCTCTTGGGAGCAAAGTGGGGAGAAACCTCCAAACCCAAACCAGCCCCTGATCTTTCAAACTGCAAGAGGTCTGTAAGAGTCAAATCTAAGCTTGCATTCCTAGGCCTGGGGAGGGTTGTGTTTGGTTGGGTTTGAGTGTTTTGGGCGTTTTTGTTTGTTCATTTGTTTGTTGGTGTTTTGGTTTTTCTGTTATTCCCCCCTCAAGGGTTTTAAATGAGACTCTTAGATGTACAGTACAAATCTTTCAGGCTTGCAAATTAAGTGCACATCTCAGCATCTTGTGTCCTTTTGTGTGCTTCATCCTGAGCCTTGAATAGCTGATTGCAGGAGGAAGTGTGTAATACTCTCCAGGTATTCATGCAGCTAAACCAGCTGCTTCTGCATTATTTATTATGCTTTTCTTTAATTTCCTTTAGTTCTGTTTTTGAAAGTAGAATTTATAATGGGATGATGCCAGTAAAACCCTGCAACTTCATGAACTACCAGGGTGCATTTCAGTGTGCGTGTGTACCTGTGAGCTTCTTGAGTTTAGTAGTCAGGTAACTGCAAAGTCTCTGCAGAGCTGGCAGAAGTGAGATGATGTTTAAACAAAGGCTGCAGAAAGAAAGAAAGAAGTTATGTTTTTCATTATGCCAGCCATGTGCAGTGCTGAGAAAATTAAGGATAAACAATTCGCAACAGAGAAAGCTGACTGAAGCTGTCCACATGTAATGAAGGACAAATTCAGTGGGACTGACACTGAGCAATGCACTACCTTGGAGAGGAGAAGCTGCAACAAGACTAAGCAAAGTTTTACACTTAAGGTTGAAAACATCTGGAGTTTGATGAGTGGTTTATGATCATTTACCTAGCAAACAAATCAAACCTTATTTAAGTGAGCATAGTACAGATCACAGGATAATTGAGGTTGTAAGGAACCTCAGATGATTTCTAGTCCAATCTCCTGCTCGGGACAGGGTCAGCTGTGAGAGGTAGTGCAGGTTGATCAGCACTTCAGCCAGTTTATTCTTGAAAAATTCCAGGGATTAAGACTGGGCAAAGCAATAGTGGCTGCATCTCAGGAGCAGTTTATCACCACAGCATTGCTCTCTGTAAATATGAAGTCTAGCACATAGAACACTGGGTCCCAAGCAGCTCTGGCCCCACTCTCCACCGAGCACAGGACAGGACTAGTGCAACGATTTCTTATACCAGATCATAGCTACCTGTTCTCCAACCCAACTTCTATTTTGTTGGTGTTTATTTTAGCACTGAGCTCTTCCCTAGCTCCTGAGCAGACAAAATACTACAGTCAGTGCTCCAACTTTGTTAAAAATGTGTAAGACCAACAAACGTGACACATTTTTTTGAGTGGTGCTGCTATACAGACTTATGCATAAAGTATTCTCAAGGAAAAAAAATGTTAACATCTCAGAGCTCCTACAAATGAGAGAATAAGGGGTTTGTTTTCTTTCAGACTACTTTTGTGTTCTTCTCTGCCTTGCCCATATGTCATGTGTCACCTTAGCTGTCACTGACACTAGCAGCTCCTCTGCATTGTGTCAAAAAGGGTTTTAAACAGGAGACATCAAGGTCAACACTAATTTATAATATAATGTAGGCACACTATTGAGGATTTTAATGTGTTTTATTGTAAACCTTATTTTAGGTTCAAGACAGCGGTGTCACAGGAAAGCACTCAACTTCTGTCATCACAGCACAGAGCACTGGCAGAACAAACTGCATGAGTAGGACTGTTACTGTTTGAGGGAGAGTTGTCCAAATGTCTGAAGTCAGGCATTCGAATACCTTCTACTACAAAGGAAAGCAACGGAGATTTTTGCTTCTATCACATCTGCAGAAATAGTCCTTGTTTATGTGGTTACTCAGGCCTCAGGAATTCTGATTTCAGCTGTAGCCAAAGACCTCCTTCACGTATTCTGCTGCCTACATGTCCTATGATGTAGGTAAGAATTCATTGCTGAAATACAGTGAAATGTTTTAAAGTCTGAATAATTCATGAAACAACTTAGTTTACTTGAGTTCCTGAAGAAGCTTCGATTGATATAAAGTTAATATTTGATCTGTAAAATGTTCAGGTTTAATTCTCCATAATTGAAAAACATGTATTTATATTTATGCACAAGTACTGAGAGCACACAAAGGTGGTCTTGATCACAACAGAAACGAGCGAGGAAGGGGATTCATCAAACAGCCTGGGGATTTAACAGATCTGGCCAGTGTATGTATACGTACATACAAGCACATACAGATTCCTAAAGCTCTGTTCAGTCTTAAGGCAGTTCTGTTTCATACCAGTTAACAACTTGTGTATCTAGTGCCAGCAGAACAAGCTGCCAATTTGAAAGTAGAATGTTGAAACCAGCTACAGACTTGTTACCTGTATTCTTTTACATAAACAAATATGATTAATTCATTTTGTACAATTTATCCAGATGTTTGTGCTTCTTTACATAGTAAAACAAAAGTCCAAATCTTACTGATTAGAAACAATCATTTTAAAGATACTTAAAATATTTAAAATACCACAATGCTTGCCAGGCCAGGGATTGCTTTTTTTGTGCAATGTAAAAACCAAATGTCATGATTTCCTCATAGAAGGAGCAAATCATTTGGAAATCTGGTAAGCACTGAAAACTGCAAGAGTTGGTATGATCTGATACCTACACATTAAAAAAAGCTCATACTGCTTTCTCTAAAGAAGAGAAAAGGCAGATGAAACTGCAACTTAGATTTGACTTAGGTAATACTTTTAAATACAAATTAAAAATCCTACAATAGTGAAACTAAGCTGCACAGAAGAAATTAATGATTTATACAATGCCCTCAAACAAGTACAGAATAATTACGATAGTTCTAAGCTACTGATGTTTCTCTCATGAATTCCTCAAGGACTGTCACTACGTTTCTGGCTTCTGGCATTTCTGCATGTTCCACTTTCACAATCTTCAGAAGGACGTCTCCACTGCCACAGTTCCTCAGGAACAGGTAGCACTTGAACAAGGCATAGTGGTTCATTTCAGCCTGGCGGATAAACCTCTTCAGGTTGTTAATGTCTTGTATAGCCTGGGAAAAGAGTAACAGAGCATTTTCTTATCCTTCTACATGGAAATAAATCATACTATCATGTGGAAAAGAGGAAGAAGAATAGCAGGAGAAGCAAAAGCATTTCCAATAGGAATTTCATTCTACTACTCAAAAGTAATGTAAAAATAGAGTTGTCTTTGGTACCTATTACCACTGTTACTGTAACAATGCAAAACGTGTGGTCATCAAAACCTGGTAAGTCCACACTTGTAGCAAGGGTTCTCCTATTGCAACAAATCACATAAGAAATGGGCTTTATTTTAGATATGAGAAAACACCTTTGGAGTGTTCACTGAAGAAACTTTAACGCTACTTTACAGTCTGGTCTTGTCAACTACAGTAAGCCAGTCCTCAACTTCAACATCAGAGTTAATCATTTAATGATTAATGATCATAAATAACCTAAAGGTTTGCTGCAAAAGGAGTATTTGCTCCCTCAGTAACCCTGGTGTCTTCAACATACACAAACACGTACCTTCAATTTAAAGCTTTCCAAAATCTGGCGGAAGAGAAATGGATTTCCACCTTCAGCACCATTCACAAAAGCGTGCATCCATTCCTCACAGAATCTGTTGCTTCCTGTTACAGGTTCACAAACACAGAGATGAGAAAAGGTAAATGAGCTCAACATAGACTACGTAGCTGCATTCACCTGGTTTAATCACTCTCACATAACAACTGATAATAGTATACCTGGGCTGGGAAAGAAGTCTTACATATGGAAAGAAAAGCAAACACAGCTACAGCGATTATGTGAAAGTCTGTTCTGATTGTTGAATTCCTTTTTAGAACATTTGTCTATACAATAGGAAACAAAGTTTTGCAGCTTCCCAGAAGTGTACAAGTCTTAATTAAATGATCTGCAAGTTAAATGCACCCTGGATTTTATTATCAACCATTTTCAAACTAGAGTTCCAGTGTAAAACAAACTGCTACCTCACCGGAAAAGAGATTTTCTTATTTCCAGCCAGAATACAACCTTTGGGAATGAACCTCTGAGCTTCTGAATATCCTCAACTACCTCTAACGTCCACATCTCTCAGCAGCTAGTGGATACAAGCAAGTACCATGAAGTATTCATAGCTGTAATCTTACCTGCATTATGTAGTTGAGGCAGAGGTCCACTACAGTCTATAATCATTGACTTGTGCTGTTCCTCAGTCATGGCAATACACAAGGAGGTCATGGTGCCTTCCTGAACGAGTCCTTGGAGGCTGGCAGCAGCCAGAAACCTGACAAAAAAAGCTCTTGTGAACTGCTTGCTTCTTTACAGCTCCTGGACAGCAAGCTGTCATAGACAAAAGCCAAGTTACTCACAGGTTCCTTGGTCTCAAAGTATCTTTACCTGCTGATGTCTTTTTCTGTTCTTTCATCTGCATTTTTTACTTCTACAGGAGTATAACTCAAAGCCTTAAAAGAAAAAAAAAGAAGTCAAAGTTGCAGTCATTGCAGCTGGTTTTGCATTCAGAAGACATACAGCAGTTATACTCTATTAGCTATTCCATCCAAAGCTGCCTCAGACTCAGGGACTAAAGCTAGGAGTGATTTATTTTCTGTTCCCAGTGAATTACATGAGGCACATCCACAATGTAACATCCCTTTTGGTTCAGAGGAATTATAGCAGTGACAGCTTTCTCATGCTGTTTCCAATTTTCTCATTCTAATTTCAACTCACATAGTACTATATAATTTAAAATGAGTTAACTATAAAAAAATGACAGAAGAAATTGGTATGTGCTTCCTTAGTAATAAAGCAGAGAAAAAGTACTTGCACTGAATTAAAAAAGCATAGAAGAATGGTTCCTCATTTACGCCTGGCTGGAAAAGCAAAGACATTTTAAACGTGCTGGAGTCACTGAGATTGCTTCTGAACCTCTTTTAGTGATCCAGTTTGAATACACTTACAGCATGCAACAAAAAGGCAAGTTTCTCCTGGAAGAGCTGTACCACTCTCTGAATAGGGCATATGGCATTCTCAAACCAGCTTCTCAAGTAGGGGTTAACGTAAGTCTCCAAAGATTTTTGCTGTAACAAGTTGAAACATAAAAACTTTAGCTACAAATAAGATTTCTACACAAACAGAATACTACTTATTATTCAACCTGAGATGTTTGGATGTCAGAATCTTCTTGATTTTAAACCACAGTAAACCAAAATAATGAGTTTGACTTTTTAAGCCACACTTGACCAGCAATGAAGGGCATCTCAGGAAACGGACAAAACTGTAATATTATGGTAATAATTAATTTGTGTAAATAGTAATTTTTACCACTTCAAGAAAAAAAGTTAGGCCTCACCTCCAAATCAAGGTTTATCTTCAGACTTTGAATATATTTGTCCAGCTCAAGTCTGAAAGTATCTTCTTAAGGAAAATGAGATGCATCATTTAAGACCTGCGTTTTTCCCTTTCAGTAATGGCTGATATTGACATTTTCAGTTACTGGAAGGTGTGCACAAATGAGCTGATTTCAAGCAAGAAACAGACAAAATGGGAACATAATTTTTACATCCTCTCCCTCTCCACGCAGATAAAGTCAAAGGTAAGGATATAGTTCTAGACCTTTCTCTGAGCCACCTATGAAACAAACCACGTATTCTGGAACAGTGATGTCTGATTCTAGTGTTGCCATTTCTAGAATATTTTCTTGTTGGAAACGACAGTAATAACAACCAACTTTATATTCTGGTATGCTATGTAGGAAAAAAAAAGAAGAATTATTTTGTTACAGATACATCACAATTACATGTGATTACACATATTACACATACATACACATACACAATTACACATACATTACATGAAAAAAGCTGACATACATGACTTATAGAAACAATTTTCTCTGGGTAGAACTGGTGGCTCCTATGATCAAATATAGAGCTCTCAGACTTTCACTTTTTTCCTCTGTGGTGTGATCAGAGTAGTTTAAAATAAAGGAGCAATAAACGTAGTATTTTTTAGCATTCAAAGAGCAAGTTATTTACTACAACATTTTTCTCAAAAATAATGGAAGTGCCATTGCATAAAGCTGTTACAAACAGCATCAATAGACATGGAATCAGGATTAAGCCCAAGCGCAGCAGCAGATGGCAAGATGTGCAATGCTGCCCCTGGTTCTTACAGTTTCTCCTTTACAAATAACATTTGAAGTTTACCTCAGCCCCACTGATGCTAAATTCCCCATTCCTTCAAACAGAGCTCCTTTAGTAAGACGCTTAGAGATAAAACTGCGCAGTTCAGTCTCTGCTTCTGCTGGTAAATTAGTGTCCAGCAAGGACAGGCTTTAAAAAAACAAGAAGAAATCATTAGTGAAAAGCAACAAGTATAGAACCCCCTGCTGCAATAAGGGTTCTACTGTGAGCTTTCTGGCTTACAGGTAACTCACTCTGTGACTTCTGGCCCATTAGAAACATTCAGTGGTTTGGCCACTAGACCAGAAGTCTGGAGTCATGGTGTCAGCTGATGCTGAATTTCTCAGCAGCTATGAACAAGTCACTCTTTCTTCTTATGTTTCCCCAGTTATAACATGGAGCAACAACCCCATTACAGAGCTTTTGGAAAGATAAGATGTCCATTTAAGATTGCTTAATACGTTTTAATTATGTTTTATCTACGTGAAGACTTAAGTCAATACAGAAATGTCAACTATTAGTAGGAAAGAAAACAGAGTTCAAATTCAAATATGAGTTTGTGTTTAGTATGTTATTTGAGGTCTGTAGTTGTGTCCAATCCCTACGTATTCCAGAAACGAAATACCGTGGTTTCACTGAGGTTTCTCCTTTGAAGTGACTTCAATGTACTTGCTTACTATTTGCAATACAACAAAGACATAAAAACGGGGTGTTACAGTTGGTTATGATGTTCTGCAGATGGGGTTTACCTGAAGTCTTCGCTGGAGGGTGTCTGTGCCGCAGCACTGCTGGGACTGCCATCCCCGCCGTCTGCTCCCTGCTGCGAGGATCTGAAAATCAAGCCATCCCTTTGATTCATTTCACAGCCTTAACTCACACAACGGGGAACAGGGGCTGCAGCAGGAAAGGTACGGCATGAGGGCGTTTTAAAGGGGCAGAGTATCTGGACACTAAGGGATGAAAATAATCCCTTCGGGGAGGGAAATAACGCGAATTCAAGCAGCCGGGAACTGACAAGGCCCGCAAACGGCCCGCACCCGGCCCGCCAGGCCTCGGCGGCGGCCAGCGGCACCCTCACCTGCAGCTCCGGTAGCTGTAGAGGCTGTGGTAGGTGCTGCCGTGCCGCTCCGGCCGCCGCTCCTCGCCCGCGCCGCCGCCCTCCTCGCTGCTCTCCAGCTCCCGCTCGTCACCGACCGGCAGCGCCGGCAGCATCCCGAGCAGCCGCCTGTGCCGCGGGCCCTGCCGCCGCCTTCACCCGCTCCAGGGCCAGGCGCTCGCCGCCCGCTGCTCTCCCCCGCGGAGACTGGGCTGTGCGGGAGGGGGCGGGAGCACCGCGACGGCTGCTCCCCCACAGTGGGTGTACCCACGGCAGCGGGCAGGCAGTGGCCGGGCCCGGCAGATGGAGGAAGGGCGAGTGGGGTGAGGAGCGCGGCTGGACCTGCTCACATCAGCGCTGGCAGGCTGAGCTGCGCTGCCTGGTTTGTAAAGCCTATTCTGCTTCTGCAACAGCTGTGTTCAACAGCACATTCGTTAGCTCAGCCTCATGACTAACAGGCTGCTCTCGCCTCCAGTCTGCGGCAGGGCCACCGCAGGAAGCCGCGGGGACACTTGGCACATCCTAACGGGATGTACCTGCCTGGGGGACCAGCCCCCGGCCAGGCAGCGGGCGCTCCGCGTCAGTTCAAGGGGTTCTCGAGGGACCGAGCTCCCTCACACCCCTAGGCTTCCCTACCAAGAGCCAGCTATGTGGGCACACTTAACCGCCACCAAAATACCGTGTTAACCGGCCACGTTAGCAGACAGCGGCTCCTTGCCCGCCTGATTCCACAGGGAAAAGCCAGTTTCCCCTCCACATTAACCACAGCCCCCCCCAGGACGACCCCTGTGCTAAAATGGCGCCGAGGGCCACAGCGAGACGCCATCGGGCAACCCGAGAGGAGGAGGAGGGAGCGCGTCAGCGGGCACCCCGCCTTCAGCGCTGCGGTGCAGGCTGGGAGCTCGGGGGCGGTAGCGCCAGGAGGGAGCGTGGCGGCCATTTTGTGGCTGCCTCGCTCGTTTCTGTGAGGGGTTGTTGCGGGCATTGCGGCTCCGGAGGGAAAAGTTCGTCTGTTTTCTTTCCGTGTAGGTCAGAGGCGCCGCCGCCATGGGCCGTAAGAAGAAGAAGCAACTGAAGCCTTGGTGCTGGTATCCTTCGCTGTGGGACGAGGCGGATGTGGGGAGCGGGTGGGGGAACGGCCTGGCCCGGTCGGGTCTCTTTGCGACTTACCCCGTTCTTCCCCCGGTTCCTTACTGTCGGGATAGGGCGCTTGCTTTCTCTCTGCCCCGTTACGATTTGGTTCTGTGCTTGGTCTTGTTTCATTTCCGAGCTTTTCAGAGCGGGAATGGGGCTTGGTCAGTGTCCTTCCTCTGCTCCCCACCCCGCGGCCTAGTCCGCCCGCTCCCGCCTCCGTTGCTTGAGGCCTCGGCCGCGGTCTCATGTCCGACTTATGAAGCCAGGGCAGGCCGCAGCCGCCCGGGCCTCTGTCCTTGGCGCTCCTGCGCCCAGGTCCCTCCGGGTGGCTGGGGTCGTGGGGAAAATGGAGAACCTTCTTTATTCACTGGGGGAAGGACCTTAATGGAAGAAAGCTGCCTCTCGTAAACACTCGAGAAGTGGGGCGGATGTGGTTAACAGAGACTTGCAAAAACTTCATTTTTTTTGGGGGTGGAGGGGTTTTATACTTGTAATTGTTGCATCAGAGTCATGTATAATTTCTCGGTATCTAGAAATACTGGTGTATTCGATCAGTCCTTTGCAATCTCCTTTTTGTTGTGGGGGCTGGGGTGGTGGTGGTGCTTCTGCCCAGTCTACAACTTTTTAATAAAGTAATTTCTAAGCTTTGAGATCTTTTACCAGCTTATGTTGGAAGGCATTTGTGTTTCCATTTTAGATATTAACATATTTAAGGTTTTGGTGGAGGTGATGAACACGTTGTGTGAATGAGGAGCAGCCAGTAAATAACAAATGTGTATTTGTCTTGTGTAGTAAGATACGTGTGAAGCGTTTGCTGAAATATTAATGCTGACCTGCAGAAAGGAAGTTACATTTTGACTCTTCTGTCACATAGGTGTCCACATAGTTCTTTGCTTAAAATATTTGTTTAAAACCAGAATTCTTTAATGTCTGCAGTGAATTATGCAGCGTCACAAAAATTGATAGTTGGATAGCTGGAGAAAGAAAGGAATTTTACTGAAAACCTGTGTTCTCTTTTACAACCATTGGCTATTGAGGCTTGTTATTAAATAGGCATTTCTAAGTATTTAGCATCACTTTTGTAGATTTCAAGTTTATTTCTGCTTTAGTGCTTCAGCAATTTTAATCTATAGGTATGTAGAGAAAGAATGAATCTACTTAGAAATAAGTAGCATTTGAAAAGCACGTTGTCAAATAGAATATGGAATCAAATGATGATTCTGATTATGTGCAGAGGTCTTACCAGTTTTGTACCACTCTGAAGAGGGAACTGTTCAATGGTATGTCTGGTTACAGACATCCATGAAATATTTGTCATGCTTTGAATGCTCAGAGATGCTTCCTGTTGTGGAGTTTATTATTTTTTTCTTTAATCATAGAGATGCTAATTAGTGTTAGATAGAAGGTCACTTTCAGGATTAAATGTTTCCTTAACAGTCTTCAATAGGTATTGTAACAGGGATTTTGATGATGAAAAAATCCTTATACAGCATCAAAAAGCAAAGCACTTTAAATGCCATATATGTCATAAGAAACTGTATACAGGACCTGGATTAGCTATCCACTGCATGCAGGTAAGAAGTTTTAGACTTACATGAACTTTTCTGAACAGTATCTTGAATTGGAATTAATAGTGGACTTATAAAGATGGGGGTTTGGAGCTTCCGGAGTTTTAGAAATCAATGAGAAAAAGACAGCAATGGTGTGTTTCCAGAGCAGGAGTCCTGCTGTGTCAGCAGTCACGAAGTGTGCAGTAGAGGTCTCTGCTGTCATTTTGGGGGTGTAGGAGTGAAGGAATTGTATTGGTGTTCAGAAGACAAGTTCATATAAACTAATTTTAGAAACTAATAATTAACAGTGATCAGGAAGTACATGTCAATAACATGTTTGGCCAGAGGGATCCTTCCCATGAAGGATCTTCCTGTTTGTCTTGAAACTGGCTGATGAACATGTGCAATTTATTTGAATAGTGGTCAGGAGGACGTTTTTTCTTTGTTTCTTTAGGTACATAAGGAAACAATAGATGCTGTTCCAAATGCGATTCCTGGAAGAACAGACATTGAACTGGAAATCTATGGTATGGAGGGCATTCCAGAAAAAGACATGGAGGAACGGAGGAGGTTACTTGAACAAAAAACTCAGGGTAAAGTATAATCTAGCTAGCTATCTGGTATTTCCTAGTCTGTTTCTTACTGATACTAAGCTGTATCTGTGTTACACAGTTCTCACTTCTCAGAAGAGTAAGGGTTGGATTTAGTGCATTCTCTGACACATTTGCCAGTCATGTAGAAAGTTGAGGATGTTTTTCCTTTCCTGTTCAGAAGTAGCTGCATTTGCCTGTGCAGCTCTGACAATTACCTAATGAATATGAAGATGGTGATTTTAATTTTGAAGGGCGGGGTGCTACATGCCTGATGATGCTCAAATACTTATATTTATTTGTTACTTAAGTGTACCTTTCTTTGAACTGCTTTGGTTTGTTCTGGACAGCATGAATGAAGGTCCCCAGGTATGTTGGGGATCGTTATGGTGCGAGTCATTTCTGTTCCCTTTATTGTTTGAACATATAGGTAGGCTTACGTTAGTTTTTCTTCTTTGTAATTCAGTGGATTTTTGAACATGCTCGTAAGATTTGAATTTACTGTTTTGTTCCAACTAGAATAACCCAGAGAAAATGAATTTCACAGAATATAATTTGCCTTCAGTTTGACCATTATTTAACTGTCATTTGTATTCTTCAGCAGAGAGCCAGAAAAAGAAACAACAGGATGACTCTGATGAATATGAAGATGATGAATCTGCAGCTTCAACTTCATTTCAACCCCAGCAAGTTCAGCCCCAGCAGGGATACATTCCCCCAATGGCACAGCCAGGTTTGCCTCCTGTGCCAGGTGCACCAGGGATGCCTCCAGGTGAGATGTCTTAGCTAATCACTGAAAAGCTGAGTAGAAAGACTTGCTGCTTGTATGCTGGAAGGATAATCTGCCCATTTTAGCACATGTTCTTTGGAGACTGCTATGAAAAAGTCTTGCAGGACTGAGAAAAATTAGTCTAAATTAGATTTGCAGATAATATTTTATATTGCATTGTTTGTAAGCAGTGCTATTCCAGGAAACTCCCAGTCTTGTAGAGCTTCCTATAAAGCATTTAATCCCATCTGAATTTCTTAAGTGATATTTGTTAGTGACTGGGTATTGCTAGAGTTGTTCAAAATGTGTTTTTCTTTTTAGGTATACCACCATTAATGGCAGGTGTTCCACCTATGATGCCTGGAATGCCTCCAGTTATGCCTGGAATGCCACCTGGGTGAGTAGCAAGAAAGACTTAATATTGCAATTACATGTTCATACCATGCTTTTTAAACTGTGGGAAAAAAATTAAGATAATCAGAGAAATGCACATAGGAACCTGTGTGCACTGTAACCTTAAGATTAACCAAAGAAGTGGATGGCTCTAAACCAACATTAAAAATACGGCCAAACTCTGTGTATAAAGTATGTTGCCTTTCTCCTAACTTTATTGGGTGGTAGTATAATCATGTATGGTCTTGGTGTGTTGATTTAGAGCCTTCTGTGAAACACTCTTCTTTTGTGTGTTGCACGTATGTTGTACATCTGGTTCCGGTCATCAACTTAACTGCATAAAGATACTGGATGGTTTTATTTTTCTTGTATTTTGGGCAAAAGTAAGATGTTGTGTTTTTTGTGCTTGTTTGGGGTTGACACCATCCCCTGTCACAATGTGTTTGGAAAATCACAGTTAGATTTTTGATTTTGTCATAAATTTTCACAGATTACATCAACAGAGAAAATACATGCAGTCATTTTGTGGTGGAAACATGTAAGCATCTCATTAATGTAATTCTTAGGTACATTCATTATGCCATTTTATGTCATGTTTTTGATAAGCTTGAAATTGTCTTACTGAAAACCTCTGAATATTTCCTAAGAATTGGGGAAAAATGGTTGGGTTTTGCTGTTATGTAATATGTGAAGTTTTTATGCTCTATCTAAATGAATATTACAAATCTCGGAGAAACATATTCTACAAAATATTAGCAGAATACACCCTTAAGGGCTTGCAACCTCTCTTGAGTTCCATGTGCTTAATTCTTTATGCTGTAGGGCATACCGCAGGAACTTTGTTTCTAAGTTTGAAAGCTCACTGAGATGAAAGATAATTCTCTCCTGAGACATAAATGTTGTTGAATGAGTTAAAATACCATGATATAGTTGACCATCATGTGAATGCTCATCATGACTGCAGCTTTTCTGTGTAGAAACAGTACAAAATCATCTCAGTCTTGCTGGTGCCTTGGCCTCCTTAATCTCCATGTTAACATTCAGGTGACTGTGATGTCATGTAGGAAAAGACGCACATTAGCTTGCCAAAAATTCTGTGACACTCAGGTTCTAGCACTATTGCTGCATATTTTCAGTGCTCTTTCTGGTGGCAGCAGGCAGTGAGCATCCATTGCTTTTGCAGGGATCTAACAGTTGTCAGAGTGGGTGGCAAGACTAACTTTCTCCAGCCATTAACCTAATAAAGGGGTGATGGTGCTACGTTACCAATCATTACTGCTTTTTTTTGCATTGGTGGTTCCTTTGTATCGGTGGCAGATGAGACTAAAAGTAGAGCCTGGGCACCAGTTTGCTTTGAAGAATTAATGCTCACCTGTTATGGTGATCTTTTCAGTTTTGAAACAGCAGTGGTGAAGGTGGCTTGACACCATCAGACAAACTGCTTCTCAGTGGGGTTTTGGTCTGCACTTGGCTGCTTATCTTGCTAACTTAAGTAATAAGTATTCCTTAATTTCTTTCCCTAATCCAGCGTCTAGTGCCTTGGAAATTTTCATCAAACTTAAGCTGCACGTGGTGTATTTCTTGTAGAGAAATTGTACATACTTGTCTATAACTTGCCAGTTTAAAAGCATAGTGTTTTAGACACTTTTGCAGCCCTGTGCAGAAGAAATTAGCTTATAGTAAGGGTTGTATGTATGGGGAACATTATTAATGTGCAGTGTGGCTTAGTAGATAAGATAAAAGGAGTCTTCTAGATGCTACCTTTGTTAGGAAATACAGACCAATCTTTTTCCTCCAGGTATCAGTAAAACCCCCAAACCTAAAAACCAAAATTGGAGGTGTGGGGGAGAGGCAGGAAAAACCCCAAGACCAAAGGAAAACCTAAACCTGTTTTTAATATGAATGGAAAATATGCCATAATAAGGACTTGTTAAGTAAGTCCACTTTTTTGTCATTAGTATAGGGAATACTTACTGTAATTGAAACTTAGACTTTCTTACCCTGTACTCTCTGCTCCTTTTATCAGTATTTTGTGTATAGTTTTACACATTTGGATTGTCTGCTGTTCACTAAAGGAGCTAGAATATGTTTACATAGCATGAGGGTGCTATATCCACAAGTAGACTTGTGGTGTCAGGAGGGAGCAATAGCAGATGTACAGCGATTTGGTTGGAGTTAGCTGCTGTTTCTATTTTCAGTGTTTCTGAGTGTACTGAGATCAGGTTCTTGGAACACTGATAAAACTAGTAGTCTGAAATGGATGTCAAGAGGGACATATTCTGGAAATACAATACTAAAAGCTTGAGGAATGAAGTTGCAATAAGCTCAGGTGCTTGGAAGATTTTCAGTGTTTATGGTCTTTCTTGTGGAAAGACATTTCTAACTGTGGAGTAAGCTGGTTTTGAATCTCTTCTGCTGAGAGGTTCTTGGAAAGATTTATCTACCATAAATTTTTATCTAATACAGGTATGCCAGTTGTCTTAACAGTTTATCATTGGTGTTCATACCAGTGCTTATTTTCTGTTCAATAGGATGATGCCGATGGGTGGAATGATGCCTCCTGGGCCAGGAATACCACCTCTTATGCCTGGTATGCCACCAGGTAGGTCGGGGCTGTCAAACTCGTACTATGGTGAGAGCTAAATTGTATTTCTTTCTTTTAACTGAGATTTAGGATTTGTATAAAGAATATACAGACTTATGCTATTACCTTGATGTGAATTGATTGCCACAGAAGCAACGCTTGTGCACAGATGAAGGGCTTAGTTTATAGGTTTTGATTATAAAAAAAAAGTGTTTATTGCCACTATGAAGAAAAAAAGCAGAATATATTCTTCTTACTGCACGCACTTGTGACTTTCGTGTTGCCTGGTTTCCATCTCTCCTTTTAGTATGGCTGCAGCTGGAAAATTGTAATGATTGAAAATGTTGTGGGAAATGAGAAATAATGTTGGTAATACACCCAAGTCTTGAACCTGCTGTGTGAAGGAACTAACTGGAATTTGGTCTTTTGCCATAGCTAGAAGAGATGTTACTTGAGCTTGTGTAGCTCTTAAGCAGTCTTAAGTTCTCAGTGTTCCTTCCACCTGACCAGCAGCTATGCTGGGTGGCTTGAGATTTGCTAATTCACCCACATTTCTCACTAGTTACAGCCTAGTTATACCGCACAGTAACGTGATGGAAATGATGTGAGCTGTTGATTTACAATGTTTGAACCTCTTCTAGAGCCCTGTGCATGCAAAGTGCGTGTATTGTGATCATAGTCATCTACAAAAGTAGCCTTCTGTATGCTGTTGCACTGTGACTCACAGCAAAGCCGATGTGTGTTTCGATCAAGGTTCTCGTACTGTTCATAATGGCTGCATCTGCTGCATTTTGTGGCAGTCTTATCCCTGCACTTGGCAGCATAGGCATGGTGTGTTGTCAGCAGCGACTGCATTAATTGCATTGATTTAAACTTCTTTGCATAAACATCACTGAAGCTCTAGTTGAAAACAAAACTTCAGTATTGTCTGAAGTGTTTGAGGTTATTGCCTATGAATGGATGTCAGTAGGTGACTGCTGGCATTACCCTTTGTCATGTTTTATTTTGCTGTTGCCTTAAAAATACGTTTTCTTTGGGTAGACTTTGTTCTAAAAATACTGTGAAAAGAATTCTCTAAATCTCCTTCAGCCTGATGTTACGAATTCTTTGTTGTTTGTAGGTATGCCACCACCTGTTGGTCCTCGTCCTGGGATGCCTCCAATGACACAAGCGCAGCCTGTTACAGCACCAGGAATTCTTAACAGGCCTCCAGCTCCTGCTGCATCTGCACCTGCTCCCCAGCCTCCAGTTACTAAACCACTCTTCCCAAGTGCAGGGCAGGTAAGGTACCTCACAGCTTGGAATCTGCTGTTACAGTCTTCAGATTGCCACTGTGTCAACAATGTCTCTCCTTTATTATTTAGGAGGCCCAAGAGACTGGTTAAGTCTCTTGCTTGTCTTGATTCAAAGTTTTAATTCAGTGTAGTGCTTGAATGAATTTTAAAAGATTCTTTTGTTTGTCTTACAACAGCCATGAAACCAAACAGAAGTTCTGTAAGCACGTGGGGAAGAAAGGAGTAGGCAAAACACTTCTTTCTTTAATCCCTTTAGTTTGTCATTTCTAAGGGTGTTTTGGGTGGGCAAAGGGTTGTGTTAGTCAGCTACCGGAACCTGATTGCATAGAACTTTACCTAAAATTTCCCAAGTATAAATCTTGACATGACTTGTTCTCTCCTGTTCTTTTCATAATGGGCTCTCTACCCATAGATGGACTAATATATTTTGTAGCTTTGTTAAATTGATTAAACATTGCCTGAATTAGGTGGTTTTTTACTTTAAAAGGTTTAGGAGTAAGTTAAGGTAGCAAAAATTCATTTAAATGTTTTGGGGAGGGAAGTGGGGAGTAGCTTGTGACCTCTGAGCTTCGATTGCGCTTGTTGTGTATAAGTCCTGAAGTTTTTACTAGCTTTCAAGTGTGTTGCAGAAGCCTTTATAGTGTGCTGTTTGCATTTTGGACTTCTGCAGGGAAAATACTTATTTGCAAACCCACAATCCTTTTGTAAGAAAAGACTTAGCATAAGAAATCCTTTCATCTGGATACTTTCCACCCATTTGTTTGGAGACTTTTCACTATTTCCTTTCTTTTATGCTACAGATGGGGACACCTGTCACAAGCTCAAGTGCAGCTTCCTCCAATTCAGAAAGTCTGTCAGCATCTTCTAACGCTCTGTTTCCTAGCACAGCACAAGTACGCAGGAAGTCACAGTTAAAAACAAATTGCTTTGCAACTTAACCCTTTGGACCGTTCTGTAAAATCTAAAATTGACTAAACATCTTCAGATAATCTCTTGGTATATTCCTGATTATGTTTAGCTGGTAAAACTGCAGAGTCCTGGATTGAGAGTTACATCTTAATAAGCAATGTCAAAGTGCCCAATTTTTCTTAGAATGAAAGAATGAAATGTTACATCCTGGTTCTAAAGGGTTAAAAAAGCATGAAAGCAGTTAAATGCATTTTAGTGGGCAGTGATTAGCTTGATGCATGGTGAAGGCTTTTTTAGTTTATGTTGTTTATGGTACATCATAATGTAGGGAATTCTGTAATTTGAGTTACGTGCATAAAGTTGACATACTTTGATTGGAAAGGTCAGATAATTGTGACTGGAAACAAAAGCATTCTCTCATAACTAAAGCTTGCTTTGGAGATTGCTGTGTCTCCACAGAAAGCGTGGTAAAGCACACTTTCCTTGTCTAAGTTTTATTGAGGAAAAAGTAGGAAAGATGAAATGTTGGAATCTGTAGTGAGCCTCATACCTGCCTTCAGCAATTATTCATTCCCAAATGAGATTAAAGATCTGTAGAGAGACGTAGTAAGTTTGTGACCATACCGCAGAGTTTTTATAGAGAGAACGCTTAAAAACCCTGACACAATAGAGCTTTCTTAAATATTTAATTTGAACATTTCTTAAATACCTAATTTTAATGAATACTAACACTTTGAGCTGTACTGTACACTAATGGTTGCTAAAGTATGCTCGTTTAGTGAGAGAACAGTGAATTTATCCTTAGGGCCTCTTAATAGAACAGTGATTCAGGAAAGATTTAGACATTTACAGAACTTGGTATTTGAGGTAAAAAATTTGATAGTGGGGGGGTCTTTTTGTTATTGTTTCTTTTCTTTCTAGTCGTGGGTTTTGACCTGCAAGTCTTAGGCTTTCCAGTGTGTATTTATGTATATGTGTATATACTGGGTTTTATTTTGTCATGTTTTCAGTTGCACTAGTATGCAATCAAGCTGAACTTTTCTTTTGTCAATCTTGTTATAATTATGTATCTCACTGGAAGGTTTCAGAGGTCTAACAGACATCTCTTCAGTTCTTGTGCTTTGAGAAATAAATACTGATCTCTCTGTTTCACAGGCTGCAGCAGCTGTTCCAGGTCCAGTTGGTACTGATTTCAAACCTTTGAATTCTACACCTGCAACAACAACAGAACCCCCAAAACCTACATTCCCTGCTTACACACAGTCTACAGCCTCAACCACTAGCACGACAAACAGTACTGCAGCTAAACCAGCTACATCTATAACAAGTAAGCCTGCTACCCTCACAACCACCAGTGCAACCAGTAAGTTGATCCATCCAGATGAGGATATATCACTGGTAAGTTAAAATACTTTCATTGTCTTACTGGAACATGCTATTTATGCCGATATGGCTGGTTAAATACATTTTCTTCTGCAGTCTGTGTTACGTGTATTTTATTAATGGTGAGAGTACAAGCTGTGCAGAATGAATGTCATAGAACCATGCACTGAGAAAACTTCAGTTGCAAAGTGCTCACTGGCATATTGCAATGATCTTGCTGTAGATCTAAATGATAAGAAATTACTCAACCCAAAATATAATATGGACTTTTTCCGCTTGTGACTTAAGCGTAAAGTTAAATAGATACAGGTAATGAGTGTAGGACAGAAGACTTAAGAGTTGAGGTGGTTTGGTGCTATTACAGCAGTTAGAAATATGGAATTTATGGATTAAACAAATGAACCTTAATTTCTGTTTATATATCTTTAGATTTGTTTGGCTTTTTTGTCTCAGCTTGTGGGGAAAGGGCTTTCTTCAGCTGAGGGAGGAAGAGAACTTGTGTGCAAAATGCTAGATTGGCTGGTAATAAAACAGTAACTTTGAAGGAAGGGAGAAAAATCCAAATGTTACTGTGTAGTGTTACTAGTAGCGGTCTTTGAACTCCTAGCTGAAATAGTTTAGTGCTGGTAATCTACTTTGTTAACACTTTTACTTTGCTTTTGGTGAGTTCTGGGTTTGCAGTGTGTTAACAGTTGTCTGTTCCTGGTTTTAGGAAGAGAGAAGGGCACAGTTGCCCAAGTATCAGCGAAATCTTCCTCGACCGGGACAGGCTGCTTTGGGTAATCCCCAAGTTGGACCAATAGGAGGTATGATGCCACCACAGCCGGGAATTCCTCCACAACAACAAGGAATGAGACCTCCCATGCCACCTCATGGTAATCATAAGTTTCCCAGCTTTGTTTTCTTGTAAAGATTTGTCTATGCTAGAAACTCTGCTGTCAGGGGGAGGTGGGTGAAGCTTTTCACAAAATGCAGCTTCTGCCCATTATTTAGTTAAAATCTTCTTTGCATCTTAAATGTTCTGTCTGTAGGTCAGTATGGTGCTCATCACCAGGGCATGCCAGGATATCTTCCTGGAGCGATGCCTCCATATGGTCAGGGACCTCCGATGGTGCCCCCTTACCAAAGTGGACCTCCTCGACCTCCAATGGGAATGAGACCTCCTGTAATGTCGCAGGGTGGCCGCTACTGATGCTACTACACACGCTCTAATAGGTTTGGAGATTAAACCTTTTCTCATCTTGTGCTGTTAATATAGCCGAGCTTCCGTCAATTAAGGCTTCATTGTGACTTTAAAAAATAAGTATCTTCCCACATGCAAGGAGCTATTGGACATTCTTATTTTACATGGGAAAAAATTATTTGGAATAATAACAGGAACTTTTCCTGATGTTGCAATTTATACTGTATGGCTTCTTTTTCATGTTTCATCTAGGTTTTTAGAAGTGAAGTATAGTAAATATGGTTCGTTAAATTGTGAAGGCGCTGGAATTACATGAACATACCACCTTAAAGGCAAGTTCTGTAACATTATGTTGCTATTTGTGAAATGATGCCTTCACAGCACTTCAAGTGCTGTTGGACTTCATGTCCCCAACATAGTTTGGTGAGGGCTGTAACTGTTCCCAACTACTTGTACATTTAAGTCTGAACTTGTAACAATATTTAATGTATTTAGAGTTCCTCCTGTTTCAGGGTTTAAGTAAACTGACCCACTAAGGTCGTGTGACTTTTCTGTATTGTTACAAACTTCATTGTAATAAAAGAAGAGAAAAATTTATATGCCTTTTTATTCATGACCAGCTGTGGACAACTGCCTGAAAGGTTTGTACAGATGCATGCCATCGTAGCTGTTGGTGTAGTGAACGCAGTTATTGGTGCTGTTTTAGTAAAATCTGAATTCCTTGTTCTAAAATTAAGTCACTCCTTAGCTGCACTTCTTAGTAGACAAAGACCTGTACACTTATTAACTGACTCCTCAAAAATGAGGCTGCAGCAGGCATATCTTAAGTCTTGGTTGTAACGTCTCTTAATGAATATGGTTGTTCATTTGTGCTTTCTTGTCCTTAATAAATTTTAAATGATTTCTAGTCCTGGCACTTACTTGTAGGATGTATAAGTGATTGCTCTAAGATGCATCCTAGTGCCAGGTGTGTCTTCTTAGTTCACTCTTCAACTGACTCTTTTTAATGTGCAAACACAAATGAGTTTCAGGAGTCTTTTAGATGAAGGTTTCTAGAAGCTTAGGTGCATGTCACATGGGTGAGTGACTTCCAGTTTCTGTATTGAAGTTGACCTGCAAAAGAGAAAGAGTAGCTTGACCTTCCCAGTGTATAGAAGACAGAGGGACAAGAGTAATGTGTTATATGGTATATTTTTACTTTATATGTTCAGAATTTCAGCTCTCAACAGTCTGAAAGATGAACCATCAGTTGCATACTGTGATCAGATGACACCTGAGTTTCTGGAGCCATTTAACAGAAGTGTCTAAGAGACCTTTTCATCAGTCCTAATAACAGCTATTGGAGAGGTCTTCCCCTCTGCAAGAGTAGTGATAAGTTACTGTCATGGTTGTAATTCTCTGAATGTGTAACATCACTATGTTAGTGCGTTGTATTTCTGATGAGAATGAAAATGTAGAGCCAGACTTTTTGGAGGGAAAGCAAGAGGCTCCCTGGTCTCCTCACAGCAGGGGGCAAAAAAAGGAGTGATGAATTTGTCATTTGCAGGTCAACTTTAAATACATGTTCCAGCCTCAAGCCTTATCTGTGCACTTTAATTTATGGGGATATCTCTTCTTCTAGGGTAGGTTAGGAAGATTATCAGTCTTTTTGTGTCAGTTAATATTTCATGGATGTTTTATAGATGGAGTTTTTACTTAATTATAATACAGAGCATTATGGCTCTTTTTCTTGAAAGTCTGGGCTTTTAACTGCACTGAAGTACCTCATGTGGCTTAAATCTGTACTGTCCCTTAATAATCCAGAAATACAGTGCAGCTAAAATAGTACATTATACTAATACATCTCAGTTTCAAATCTGGGGTCATGGAATGGCTAATGAAACCATTAGAACGTTTTCTGCAGTCCCATTGCAGCTGAATGGCCTTAGTGTGAAGTGCTCTTTCTGAAGTGTTTAGCAGTTTTAAGACCATAACTCCAAGCCTCTATTGAGAAGCAGTTCTCTCTGATCACTGATGTCTGCTGATCACCTGTCAGATGTGCAGCATTTGGCTTGCAAATGTGCTGAGTGGACCTTGATGTCAGATCTTTCATTAGCTCTTCATCTTGCTTTATACAGAAGTCTTAACAGATAAACCTGTTTTGCTTAAGCAGTGCTTTTATACTCTTAATTTTCTTCTGGTTTTCTAATAAGGACAATTACAAAACACTGAAGAGATTTTTACAATGTCTTGCATTCATCCTTTTTGTAACAGTACTCATTAAATGAATGGATTATAAATTGATCTTAACTTCTGCTTTTAAACCTGTAGAACTTGCTTTTTTCTGACGATCACATTGCTGCTGTAATGCTATTTCTCCTCCTGTCCCTAGTAAAGTAAATACCCTCTCTTGGTGTCTTTCCCTAACTTTCTGTATGTTGTTTTCAGACCCCTACTTTTCCTGGGATAAATACTTTAAAACCTTACTGCATGTACTGTTAACTCAGCATATTCTGCAAGTTGTATTAAGAGTTCCTGTCTTTTAAATAGTGAATGTCTCATTGTTCCAATAATAGCACCATTTTGTAGCCAGTAATACTACATAGACTTAGAGCTTGGATGCATTTTAAGATTGAACTTTCCTTCGTAGTAATGTTATGATAATTCCTCAACCAAGTACTGCCACATATTATTTACATGGGACTCTAATAAATCTTTTAACAAGCAGGTGGAGGATTTTTTCCATGCTTTTTCATGTGGATATGTACTTTTCTGCTCCTGTCATTCCTGTGCTGTAAGAGCTGTAATGTGGCTATCTTTAATTCCTCTTGTCTCTTGTGTGAGCTCTTCTGTAAGCAGGCAGGTATTTCACTGCATATGTTGTCTATTGGTCTCTGCCTTCATTTCTTTGGATACTGCTTCTTAATCTTCAGAGAGTTGGATTTATGGTGCATTTTCCCAAAAAGAGGAAAGCTAATTGGAATGTTGTAATTGCTTGCGTAAAGACTAAGTCTTGATTTATAGTACAAAGTTCAGTCAACATGATTGTGCCAGCAAAATCCCTGATGTAATGCAGCCATGCAAGCAGGTTTTTTGCTTCAGTTAATCTCTCCCTGGAAAGAAATTGCAGGAGTCTTTCTGATTACAGAAAAGCATTTGTCATACCTGTTGCAGGACCCTTAGTGATACAATTCATAGGCAGAACCTTTCTTTTTTAGTTGTTGCCAAAATTTGCCATGGCAGATATTACAGTAGAGCTAAAACTTGCAAGTGGACTTTGATTGATCCTTAAATTGGAATATAATGCAAACACTGAATACAAAAAAACAGGCTGGAAGAAAATGTTTAGGCGGGAAAATGTTTAGCAAAATACTTGGAGTTTATGGCATCCAGGACTTGTTTAAAAGGTTCTAAATTATTTTATGCATGGTCTCTCAATATCATTATGAGAAGTTGATCTCACATCTGAGTTTTAGAGCAAAAGGGATGATACTGGCATGAAGGAATCTTCGGAAAGCCCAGGCTTCAGGAGTCTTGATAAGACTGTCCTGTGCTTCCCTGTGGAATATCTTCCTGCCTTTGGCAAAGGTTGCTTTAAGTAAAATCTGTAAGATTTAGCTGGCTGGTATAGACTAAAAAGGGCTTCTGATTCTTCTACAGAGGAGATTTTTAGGTGCTGATAATAAATTTGAGGCTGGGATATATATGTTATTTCAGTGGATAACTACTCCTCGCTCTGTGCATGCATGAGAGAATATACACAAGCTTCTAGAAACATTTAGCTGCATGTGCCCTCTATGGTTTCTTCAATTATTTTAGCATATGGAGCTCTTGAACAGTACTTACATAGAACCATATAACTTATTTTCTTAAAGCTTGGATAAAATTGAAAAGAATGTATAACCTGCAGTTACTTGATAGGAATCAAAGAATTCTGCAAACAAGATTACTTCAGTTTTATAAAGAGCAAGAAGGGTATTATGACTTCAGTTAAATTGGGACTCTGATATACCAGTCCATGAGCTGGCGCTGCAATTTAAAGTGGCAATTAAAGACACTTAAAAGTAATAGTAAACATCTTAATAATTGTACTGGTCTAGCTTCTACATAAGTACTAAGGTGAGGGTGAACATTTCCAGTGGCTGGTGGGATCTTTAACTCTACTTTTTGTGAACTAGTACAGTAAATACTGTCAGTTATGGGAAAAATGCCCCTAGACAACTGACTTTAGTTCCATTGATCAAGATACAAAGCAAGCCAGTCCAATTCAGATATAGCTACGGGCTGTAAATTGGGGCCTGCCAAAATAGGTGCTATAGCAATCATTTTGTTTGCTTGATCACTGGAATTCTGTTGACTTTGAATGCATGTCTTTCACTTAATTGGGTGATGTTTTTTCTAAAATTTAAATTTTTCTTCTTCCTATAGCCCTGCCATAGGACAGGCTGAGGCAGAGTCTCAGTGTTGCCCTGTTCAGTCTGAGGCAAGTGGGATTTATTTTATTCATTCTGGGGGCTTTCACAGCTTTATGGCTGTTGGATATTTATGTCCCCAAACTTGCAGCAAGTTTGGTGAAGGCCCCTAAATTTATTTTAATTTAGGTTTTTTATTCTCTTTTGGTAGATGGGCTCTATATTAATATTTATCTTTTTATTATTGTTGTGTTTTTAAGAGTCTTAGGGGGAGGGAACATGTTTTAAGATGTTTGGGTACCTTTTCTCTTTCCGGAGCACGGTTCCTTCGCAGCTGCTCAGGTAGTCCTTCAGCCACACTGCCCCCTCTCCCTCTTCCCCTGCATTGCATTTGTGCGGTATTCGTTTTTGGGTTTGGTAATGTGACTTTGTGTAGTCTCTGAACTAGTGTCATGTAAATAGCAATTACTAATGTTTCCTCTTCTGAGGAGATGTATCTGTCGAAGTGCTTAAAATACTGAGGTTTAAGCTAGTAAGTGACATTTATAGTCACAAAATTGCATAGCCTAAATTATAGAATATAGTTTCTTTGGAGGAGGTTTAATACGGCTGCATATGTGAACTGCACCCCAACAAATATTAATGTAGAGCCCTGTGAAGAAGTAAGAGATTCAAGCTGGTAAAGTAGAATAGAAAAATGAGAAATGGTGCAGATTCTTCAGTTCATCAATTACAGGAAAAATCTCTTCCTTAGTCTCTCAAAGACACCAAACGTCACAACATTTTGTCTATTGCAGCAATACAGAAAGTCGTGCTTTTTTGAAACCTTGTGAAATTTTACTGCATGTTCAAAATTTGCTTCCATATATGCTTATGTGAACTTCCTTCTTTCACACAGTGACTAGCAAAACCTTTTACCCTTTGTGGAGAAAAATGAGCTTTAGTGTTGCTGCTCATTCATTCAGATGTATTAGCTTTGAACGCTTGAAGTTGCTTAAAGACAGCTTCAGCTTCAGAAGAACAAGTTTCGTCCACAGAGGTCATGCAGCCTGTCAGCAGTGAAATAGAAAACTTAACAAATTTGGGGTCTGGTTTGGTAACTTTTTTTTTTTTTGAGGTACTTTTAAAATGTGTAGTGTTTTTTGATGAGGAGAGACTAAGTAACGACCCCAGTGTGATTTCCAGTGACTTTAATTAAAAGATAGAGTTGAGATTTATAGTTACAGGAGTGTATTTCACATTCCTGTTTGTACTCTGCCCTTTGCATTTTCCCTGTAGAAGCCCCCCTAAATGGTCCAGTCTGACTGGAAAACTGGCATGTCGTCTGTTAATGGTTTCAAAATGATTATTGAGTGTGGTGTTGCTTTTCTAATTCTTGTTGTGGTGCTACCCTTGATCACAGTGAAGATGAGAACAACACTTGAAGATGCACTACTGCAGCTAGTATTTGTTTCACGTATGTAGTCTGTGGGAGAATTTGGCTTAGTTCTTATCTCCCTAGAAAGTCTGATGAAACTAACAAAAAAAGCTGTATGGCTTGTACTTCTTGCTTTAATTATCTGAATCTCTTGGACACTCAAAAAGAAACACGGGCAAATCTCAGATGTCTGATGCTGAACCTTGTTATCAGTTTCCGTTTAAGACTGATGCAGCATTAGGTAATTTTTATCTGACTTCTCATAATCAGCTTTCTGTCAAACCCAGAAAGCTGAAATTCACATGCATATTGTGTACAGTAGAGTACCCTGCTTGGATCCACACTTGGGTTATATTTTATAAATTGATACCCTCGTGAGAGCTAAAAGTTTCCAGTTCAGAGACAACTATCTGTTTTTGTTGATGACATCTAGGTTTGATAAACTCATGGAAGGAATGTCTCCAGATGCAGTTCCTGTTTTCACTGTGTTTAAGCTCTGTGTACTAATACTTAGGAGCAAATGAACCATTTATTTGTGTTTTGGCATGTTTTGTGAGCAAAACAGCATTTCTCCACACAACATTGCTGTGGATATTTTTTTCTTGAAGATGCTTATAGACAATTCCAAGATAAATTTCGTGCTCTCTATTTGGGAAAGATGCATTTGACATTAAGACAACTCCACAGTGTGTCATTGTATGAATCACAGGGGTTTTGACTCCTGAGTTTTCCTGCTGCACTGCAGGTAGCACTTGTAATTTCTGGTGGGTACTTCACACACGCTTCACTTCCATCCTTTACATTCCTCTCCTTTCTTGTAAGTCATTAAAGGATTGGACAGGACCAGGTTTTGGTCTTGTTTTCCCTCTTTGGGAGTTGGTAGCTTGGGCAGATTACATTTGTGTTACTCCGATCTATTACTACACATTAATGTTTGTCCCTAAATTTGTAGCAAGTCATGATGTGATTTTTTATATTTTTTTTTAATTTTTGTTTTGTCCTTCAAGATCCATGTGCAGTTAATTAAGTGCTGAAGTCTTTCAATTCACAAGGATGGCATATTGGCTCTGTGCTCTTCGCTGGGAGTATCTCCTCAGCTATTAGACCAGCTGGCCTGACATCTTGAAAACAATTTGTGGAATCCTCATCCAGTGCACATGGTTCACATTTTGCTCTTTTTGTAAAGTTCTGTTAGCGATGTTTTCCTCCCTGCCTCCTTGTGTGGATCTAAGGGGGATAGCTGACCAAAAAAAATTGACACTGTAAAAGAGATCTCTATTTTGAAGCCCAGTGGTGTGTTTTTACTGACATGCCAGTATTGCAGCTCTCAGGATAGCAGCAGTCTGCGTATCACGAAGTCATACGTCTCACTGGTTGTGGAATTTCTTTTCTATGGATGACTGTGTTTTAGTGACTTTTATAGGTACTAATGGAAGTTGGTCTTAGAGTTTGGAGTGGGGTTTAAGCTTAAGTAGAGGTACATGACCTTTTATGGTTTTTTGTTAAGGGCAGGAATTACTGATACTCTGCTAAATGGAGTGAATTTGCACCCACTGTTTTTAACGAGAGAAGCAAAGGGGACGTGGGGCAAATAAAGTGTGTAACACGCATGAGATTTTGGTTTGCTTTAGAATTGTGTGATGAGTTTATAATGTGTTCTGTGCCTTGCCTAATGAAGGTTGTAGCCCTTAGATTGTAGCCTAACTGAGGAATAGGCTATTTCCAGAAGAATGTTTTAAAAAGTCTGTACATTTGGAGTCAAAATAATCAGACAGTGAAATGATGGTAGTGACCAGGTTCTGTAAAATGTAGCTATTGGTGACTACCGTATTTTGCTGTAATGGTGGGGGTAGGTAAATACTAGTTCAACAAAAGCTTTGAGGCAGCCTTCCAAGGGATCAAGATAGAGTTGAAGTGATTCTACAGTGTAATGTGCATAAGATTCTTTTTTGAAGCTTTAGGAAAACCTTTGTGAGAGTTTTCTTACACGCTGTGAGCAGCAGCTTTATGCAGACTCTTGACTGCCAGAGTGCAGAGTCTCATTAAGGCTCTAGTAGAAGAAAACACAGTTTGAGTCTTGTACCCAAGGATCCAGGATGTTGTTCTTGGTCGTTTTTTCATAGCATCTGATGAGTCGGTATTGACCATCCGTGGTATGAACTGGATGTGAGGGTCGGTGTTTACTCATCTGTTGGCTGTTGTGAATGGTGAGGTGCTTGCACCTTTTGAGCAAGTTCACAATAGCTTGACTTATTCTTACTTCTGACACCTCAACTCTTAGTTCTTCTATTTAAATCTTAACTGTGTTCTCGAGTGCTATTCAGAAAGGGGCTGTGTGGAGAATTTTGGCTTCTGCTGCCCTTAGTAGCCAATGTGTATAAATGGTTGTTGCCAACATTATCAGAAATTAATCCCATACGGCCAAAGGTAGCTAATTCGCTGTCTTCCATTTTAGGAAATTACATAATCCTTTGAGATAAAGATGTCATGCAGAGCTTTTTACTCCTTTTTTTTTTTTTCTTTGAATTAATTGCATATATGTTACTTGCACTGAATTCTTCAGCTTCTTTCCCCTAAATTTTAGTGGAAGAAAATACATTTTGCTCTTTCATTTGTAAAGTCTAGAATAAGAAAACACACTTTGAGACTGTTTAATGAAGGAACCTGGCAATGTAAGTATTGTGTTTTCTTTCGTTTGTGGTAGGCAACAGGATTACCTTGTTAAACTTATGGCAGAAAAGTAAGGGCAAATTGAAAGTAGTTTTATGGTTGCCTTTACTTCATATGCTTTTCTTAAGCAACAAATTGTGGTAATTGAAGTTTGGCAGCTTTTTAAATGAAAAACTAAATTCTGGGTGAAACTTCTTGGTTTAATACAATTTGTGTTTTTGTTAACTAGCAGCAGAATTTCAGCATTTGCTACTTACTGGTAGAGAAGAAAAATTCCACAGCACTGCCAGTACAGGTTAGTTTAATCTGTAAGTACCTGATGTTCCTATTTGAAATAATTTGTTCAAATGATACCACTTAAATACATGAGGGGATTTTTGGTCTCTGCAATGTGAATGTATCTGTTATCTACCACTGTTCCCAGTAGTGAGTGAACAGCTAGATTTTTATTTTTTTTTTGAATATCTGCAGTGGTTTTAACTACACTTGTTGGTAACATCTGCAACCACTCAGAAGGAAAACTTAATACAGAAACTTAACAGACAGCCATTGGTGTTACTGAAAAGCATGAAGATCTAAAGTTGAAGTTATTTTTTCAGTAACACGCTTATTAAAAAAGAGGCTGTTTTACCAGTGAACCAGTTACACGATACTGTATTTGATGTGTTGGGGAATAAGCATTTGTGTTGGTAAGAATCCATAGCAGCAATTTTTATTTTCTTTAGTCATTGTTAATATTGTCTCCTAACAACAGATTTTACTTCGTTAGGCTGGTAAGCCAGGATCTGCTTGTTCTCTGCTTTTATTGTTTGGTTTTTGTTAGCCCATTTCAGCACTTCAGAGGCTTCTTGCAAATGTGGTTTTGCCCAGCTGTTTTATCTTACTCCAGAGTTACTGCTCTGCCTATTTTGTTTTTCTTCTGCCCTATTCCATATTCTTGGAAATTTTGGCTTTTTTTTTTAATTTTGTTTATTTTATGGAGTATTTTACACCTTAAAATAGGAGAGATCCTTTGTGATTGGCTAAAAAAATGCAGCCTTCTCCAGAATAGCTGCACATGTTTTTAGTTAAGCTTTGTGTACCTCATACTTACATATCAGCACAGGAGATGACAACTTGCTATGCTGTAGTACATAGTATAGTTTCACAGATCGATGATCTGTAATAATTCACTTCTCAAGGGCATGTTATCACATGGTGAATTTGAGGGGCTTTTGACATCATTAGTGGCTAATTATATAGAAACTAGGTGTTGGGAAGATCACACTAGTGTGGCAGTTGAACACACTTCAGTTTGTCAGCACATGTGAATGGCGTAGAGTGGCTTCATGAGAGACTTGATGCTTCCATCAGTATTGCTTATTTTTGAATTTTGAAGTATTACCTGACACTGCAGAATTCATGCTGCTAACATAAAACTTTTCAAGGGGATTGTATCTTCCCAGGCTTTAGAATAATTGCACTTGAAGCCCATCTTGTGGCATCATCTCTGCATCAGTTCCGTTACTCACACTAAATTGCTTTGCAAAACTAGCTACGTGCAGATTTTTTACTAATGTTGCATAGGTGTTTCTCCCTAGAAAAAGAAGGCAAGTTGTACAATAAAACTGTATAACTTATCTTTGCCTATATTCCCTAAATCTTATGCATGAAAAACAGGGATACCTTGCTGTGAGGTCATTGTTCTATTAACAGAATGTATGCATCTTCTTTTTAACTTCTGTGGTTGGCCCTAGTTGATACTTAATGCAATGCTCTATGCTAAATTGGAATAAGTAACTGATTGCTTTGGCTGCTGAATTACTTTGTGAAGTCTCAGTTTTGGCAGTGGTTGGATGCTGACCTGCACTACTTGTACACCAGCTTGGCAATCAGTGGGGATAACTAAAGGATAGTGGTGTTTTCTAGTATTTTTTCAACAAAAAGTGCATTTGTCCATGGTAGATCCTAATATGAGCTCTGGTAGAACATCGTCTCTTTGTGAAA